ACGTGTCAGCACTCTCCCCTTTTCACACTCAGGTTCCCCATTTTCATTCATCCAGCTTCCTGTCCCCTTCTGCCTTCTCGTCCTTGCCCCTGGGCTGGTGTGCCCATTTAATCTCCTATACATGGTTGAACTATGTGTGTTGTTATTGTTTGTTTTATAGGCCTGTCTAATCTTTGGCTGAAAGGTGAACCTCAGGAGTGACTTCAGTACTGAGTTAAAAGGGTGTCCAGAGGCCATACTCTCGGGGTTTTTCTAGTCTCTGTCAGACCAGTAAGTCTGGTCTTTTTTTGTGAATTTGTATTTTGTTCTACATTTTTCTCCCGCTCTGTCTGGGGACCCTCTATCATGATCCCTGTCTGAGCAGTTGGTGGTGGTAGCCAGGCACCATCTAGTTATGCTGGATGTCTGAATGTTTTCAGGACAGAAATATATACATCAATAAACAAAGAAGAAATTACTAGGTTACATACATAACTGATTAACATTCTATGGACAAAATATCGTAATACCTTTGAGGTTAATTTCTCTTCAAGGCTATTTAAAAACAACTTCTTATCAATTTCTGCAGGTTGATATTATAGAGCTGTAAACTCTCTGCTTTTATCAGTAGTGGATTATTAGTCAAATATACGATGAAAACAAAGTTATATTCCCATGAGTATCAGAAGAAGGTCAAGCAGGCTTCTTAGAAAAACTCTAACATTCTATTTAAAAAAAATAGAGCAATGATTATTTTGCCTTTTTAAGTTTGGGATAAATTTTTATTTTGGAAATAAATTGTATTACATGTCTTAAATTAATCACAAGAGGAATGGAGGCAGTTTAATTGACTCAGAGCAGTTTTTTTTTCAAAGTACAGTTACAACCAATTAATGGGATGGTGGACTAGGAAATCAATGTACTGTGCATGACCAGCTTTTTAAAAAATGGAATAGAATATCAAAGTGTGTCAAACATAATAGGATCAAGTATCAGGTTTGTGTATGTGTATGTACTGGGTTATAAAATGTAGTTCCCTATATGGGTAATGATTAAAAAGTTTGAAAAATATGACCTAGACCATTCAAGTCTCACTGCAGGAGCTGTGACACAATTGCTTAGAGGATAATGATTAAAATCAGAGTTTTGTCCTCAGGGAGGAAGTTGGGGAATAGGCTGGTGGGTAGACAACCAGTGGAGTGGGCTACAGTAGGAGACTGACAGGGTGGTACTTGATTCTGTGGTCCTCATCCCCAAACCCGATGAGCTATTATAAATACTGTACACAAACTTGACTGCTGTCTGACTTTAAATGACCCACAATCACTTCAAGCTCAGGATGGTTCGGTTATCATAAAACCCATTTGTTGTCCAAGTCAATTCTGACTCATGGCAACCGCACATATTTCACAGTAGATCTGCACTTCATATGGTTTTCAGTGGCTATAATATTTCAGAGGAGCCCTAATGGCACAGTGGTTAAGAGCTCAGCTGCTAACCAAAAGGTTGGCAGTTCAAATCCACCAGCTGCTCCTTGGAAACCCTATGAGGGAGTTCTACTCTGTCCTATAGGGTCTTTATGAGCTGGAATTGTCTCAACAGCAACAGGGTTTTTTTGGTAATTTTTCAGAAGTGGATTGTCAGGCCTTTCTTCCCAGGTACGTCTGGGTGGCTTCAAACCGCCAACCTTTCAGTTAGTAGCTGAGCACTTAACCGTTAGCACCACCTAGGGACTTCCCTTATAAAAACCATCCTTTATTTCCTCTTGTGGCAGAGACTACTAGTTGTCTCCCCAATATCTGTTCTCCCTCACTGACATAATTGAAATTGCACCTGAGCACATGGTCACCAGGCCAAACACTACATTTCCCAGCTTCCCTGGAAGCTAGGTATGGCCATGTGACTAAGTTTTGGCCAATGCAATGTGCACAGGAATGATGTATGAAAATTTAAGGTCATGTCCTTAGAGGGTGGGTTATGGTCTCCTTTTCCTGTCCTTCATTCTGCTACCTGAAACACGGACCAGCTGGGACCACATGGACAAAGACAACACCTTAGGGATGGTACAGCAACAAAATAGGAGATGTCCAGGTCCCTGCTGCCAGGTGCTGTCATACCAGTCCCAGATTATTACACAAGCAAGAAATTAAACTACTTTCTTATTTATGCCACTGTTATTTCTGAGTCCCTCTTATGGAAACTTAACCTATATCCTACCTAATACCATTTTATCAATGGAAAGATGGCAGAAATGTGAAGTGTTAAGGTACATAATCAGTTGGCATGTCAGATTTTAAGGTGTGTGGACTTTAAACCATACTCCCAAACAACATATTTGCCTTCCTGTCTGGGCTCCAAAACTCAGCAGGCTGAGGATCAGATAGAGGGTCAGAGAAAAACAACTCTGGCCAGTGTCGTGTACTGCTTATATTAGATTAAACCATATGAAATTGTCATTTTTTTAAGTAAAAAATGGTCAAATATTAGTAATTTCATATGCTTCAATCTAATAGAACTGATGCTGGATCTCACAGATGGTGGAGTCTTAGAATTCACACAGGCTGAGATCTTCAATAAATGTGCTTTCTCTAGATAGTAGACAAGAATTATCTTAGGTGAAGGAAAGGACAACACACAATACGGGGGAAGTCAGCACAACTGGACTAAACCAAAAGCTAAGAAGTTTCCTGAACACAACCAACACTTCGAGGGACAGAGTAGCCAGGGCGGGGGTTTGGGGACCATGGTTTCAGGCGACATCTAGATCAATCGGCTTAACAGTTTTTTAAGAAACTGTTCTGCATCCCACTTTGGTGAGTGGTGTCTCAGATCCTAAAAGCTAGTGAGCGGCTATCTAAGACGCATCAATTGGTCCCAACCTACCTGGAGCAAAGGAGAATGAAGTACACCAAAGACACAAGGAAAGTATTAGCCCAAGAGACAAAAAGGGACACATAAACCAGAGACTCCATCAGCCTGAGACCAGAAGAACTAGATGGTGCCTGGCTACCACCAATCACCCTGACAGGGAACACAACAGAGAATCCCTGACAGAGCAGGAGAAAAGTGGGGTGCAGAACTCAAATTCTAGTAAAAAGACCAGACTTAATGGTCTGACTGAGACTAGAGGAACCACAGAAGACATGGCCCCCGGACTCTCTGTTAACCCAGAACTAAAACCATTCCCAAAGCCAACTCTTCAGAAAAAGATTAGACGGGACTATAAAACATAAAATGATACTTGTGAAGAGTGTGCTTCTTAGTTCAAGTAGATGCACTAGACTAAATGGGAGGCTCCTGTCTGGAGGCGAGATTAGAAGGCAGAAAAGGATGACTGGTTGAATGGACACAGGAAATCTGGGGTGGAAGGGGGAGGGTGCTGTCACATTATAGGGATAGCAACTAGGATCACATAATGTGTGTATAAATTTCTGTATGAGAAACTAACTTGAGCTGTAAACTTTCACCTAAAGCACAAAAAAAAAAAAAAAAGGAAAAGACTAAAATAAAAAATTGCTCTCTAAAGGACCTGGGCAAAAGCTGAATTGCCATAGCCGAGGGCCCTCAGGTGCACACCTGGTCTCCTGTACGTCATTGGACTGACTCCAGGTTATGACCAGAGATTCTGACAAAGCCGTGAGCAATATGCTGAATCTAAGGGGACGACTCAACTGTCTTAAGAGAGACAATAAAAGTGAAGCCAATGAGACAGTAATGGCAGTTAGCCACAGTTTTGTTGGGGGTTGTAAACTTTGGGAGGAGACGAGTCAGGTAATGACATGACTTAAATCCGTGGGTGTGAGCTACACGATCAACCTCTTTTCATGGCGCTCACTGTGCCCTATCATTCAGGGTATGGCTGGTAACGATCTCTTTTCCTGTCCCTCAGTCAGTACAACAGTATGGCAGACAGCCACGTTATAGCTTATATATTACAGGCCCAACAATATGGTGAGCACTGATTCTCTCGTCTTGATTACAAATTCCCAGGAGAGAATCAGACTGACCATATGCAGCAGATGCTCCTGGTGCCCTGTTACATCTGGTTGACTCTGACTTCTGCTGCAGCTATAATGGACAGTTCCTAAGAGCTGAGATTTCCCACCTCAAAGCCCAGCCACAGTATTTCTGCCTCGGGGCTTTCCCCCAAAGACTCCAAAACTCAATCTACTTGCACATAGGAGCAGACTGGCTGTTAGAATGGGGGTGGGGGTAGGGGGCGTGGGGAGGGAGGTTACCATCCCCAGCAGCAATCCTCAATTTGTAGAAGATATGAGTCAGTTCAGCATCCTGTCTTAGAAAATTCTGGGGTGCATTCTACATGGCTCCTCTGCAGGTTCCCAATTAACCACAGTGATAATAACAGCTCAAGAACACACTCTTCATTGGCTTTTTTTCTTCCCTGTCTCCCTCCTCCCCACTATCTTACTCTGGCTACCTAGGTTTACCTCTCACCTGAATTACTGACACTCAAATTCCTGTCTCAGGCTATGCTTTTGGGGAACCCAAACTAAGAGACTCTGTAGAAATGATGTGCAGCTTTGGAGAGAAATCTGCACTTTACAGAGATATGAGAGTCGTTAGCTCGTGGAGAATAAGTGCAGTCGTGGCCACAAACGAAAACGGCCGGAGGGAGGCCGTGGAGTGACAAGCCGGCCAAGGACCGATGGGTGAAAGACCCCAAACCATCCCAGCCCTCCTTTCCCAGAGTTAACATCCGTCCTCGCATTCGCCAGAAGTTTCGCCCATCCTCGAAGACTCAGAAAGACCCCTTTTGGAACTACGCCTGGGCCCTGGATCGTTGGGGCGCTCCAGGCCACCTCCTCACCTTAAGAGAGTCACCTAACTCCCCCGTAGCCCCTGAGGCAGGAGGGGCGGGACTCTGCGGGGGATGCTCCTCCCTCTCGGCGACTACGCTAGACGTGCCTGCCCTGCGTAATGACGTCAGCGCGCTTCGCGCGCCGGGGGAGGAGTGGGAGCGGCGGGGGGATAGGAGTGGAGGTCTTCTGTAACCCGGCCTGGGCGGGGACAGGGCAGGGAACCCCCTCAGAGTCCAGGGTCGCGGCCCGGACCCGAAGCGGGAGCCCTAGAGACGCTCAGTACTCACTTCCTCTCCGAGCAGGCCGCGCCAGGCCCGGCGATGGAGTTTCCGGACCTCGGGGCTCACTGTTCCGAGCCGAGCTGTCAGCGCTTGGGTGAGGGGCGGAGCGCGCGGGGGCGGGGCCGAAAGGGATTTGAACTGCAGGTGGGCGCAAGGTGGGCGCGGGGCTGGCAATGCCTGGGAAGGACGGGGCTCGAAGTTGGGTGCGGTGGCTAAGGAGGCGTGGCTAAGGAGATAGTGCGCTAAGGAAGGGGTGCAGTTTGTTACAAATAGAGTAGGGCTGTAAGGAATGCGTTTCCTTTCCCCGGAGCGATGGGGAAGGACCCGAGGTCCCGCTGGACCTGTAACCGAACCCACTCCCTGCAGATTTTCTGCCACTCAAGTGTGACGCCTGCTCGGGCATCTTCTGCGCAGACCATGTGGCCTACGCCCAGCATCAGTGTGGATCTGCTTACCAAAAGGTGAGGGGGTGGTGCTGAGGGGTCACTGGGGGAGAGGAGAGGATGTATGCAGACTCCGGGAAGCACCCTGCTTCGCTTTCCCTCTCCTTGTCTTTCTGAGATTCATTGCCCAAGAGCCTTGTGCTTGCTTGTGCATTTGTGGGGGACATATCTAGGATCTGGGAGATTCTCTCAGGACCAGAGATTTGGTTGGACTGGGAGTGGGCTTAGAACTGATCCCTGCTCTTTGTCCTTAGGATATACAGGTGCCAGTGTGCCCACTCTGTAATGTGCCTGTGCCTGTGGCCAGAGGGGAACCCCCTGACCGTGCTGTGGGGGAGCACATTGACAGAGACTGTCGCTCTGATCCCGCACAGCAAAAAAGGAAGGTAAGCGATGGAGGGGTAGCCACGACCAGACCAAGCTGGGCCTGTAGATTCGTGGGAACCTGAAAGCTGCTGTTATGGGATTGCGGAAAAAGGTCAGAGTCTCAGCCAAGACGAACCTTCCCACTCCACCTCAGATCTTCACCAATAAGTGTGAACGCTCTGGCTGCCGACAGCGGGAAATGATGAAACTGACCTGTGATCGCTGTGGCCGAAACTTCTGCATCAAGCACCGTCACCCACTGGACCATGATTGCTCTAGGGAGGGGCATCCTACCAGCCGGGCAGGGTAATTGAAACTAAGTCTTCTATTTGCCTTTGGGACAATTTCGTCCTTTTGAAATTGACTTAGCCCCTATCATTACAAGTTTGGCTTTGGCTAAGGGAGTCTTTCAGCTTCCTTTTCAAGCCCATATTTGCCAGTTCTGATATAGAGCCCAGGATGTTCTCCCAGACTCTTTGGAGGGAACTCCCCTCTTGATTTCTTGGGTGGCTAGGTAAGGCCTAGGGGGGAGCATGTGAGCTGATTTATGTTTGGAGGCATGCTAAAGAGTGTCTCTTCCCTGTAGACTTGCCGCCACCTCCAGAGCACAAGGTCTGGCTTCTTCTACAAGCACCGTCCCCAGCCCAAGTCAGACCTTGGCTTCATCTACCTCTCCCAGCAGGTAGGCCTGCCCATTTCTCCTCTTCCTTTTTTTTTCCTTCACACCTCTCACCTCAACCTCTTGAATGTCTGCCATAGAGCCACAACGCATTCTCCATCGCCGACGGCCCCTCCAGTGATTGCTTTACAGAACGGCTTGGTGAGCTGGGGAGAGGTTGGATGGACAGACGCAAACCCACAGAGTAAAGTCAACAGCAACTGGTCTTCTCTTTCCTCTTGCAGAGTGAGGATGAGGCTCTGCAACGAGCCCTGGAACTGTCGCTGGCAGAGACCAAGTCCCAGGTCCCTAGGTACCTACTCCTGGTGAAAAGGGGAAGGTGGGTGGTGGGCAAGGCCTCGGTTTGGAGGGACTGGGGACCACTCTGACCTGATGTAGGATAAGGAACTTGGGCTTACATTTAAGCTTATTAACTATATAACATTTGACAAGTTATTTAATCTATTAGAGCTTTAATGTCCTCCATAAAATGGGGACGGTACTAATACTAATCATCTACCTGGTAGCGTTGCTGTGAAGATTGAGATAATATCCAGAAGTGCTCAGCAAAGTGATGCCTAGCACAGATCAGCTGCTCATATTTTAGATATTAATGTCATCCAACTTAAGCTCCTCCTCCCTCAGTTCTCAGGAGGAAGAAGACTTAGCCTTAGCACAAGCACTGTCAGCCAGTGAGGCCGAATACCAACAGCAGCAGGTATGACAAGGGTGGCATAAAGATAGGGTCCTGCTGCAGGGAGGGAGGAAGAGGTCGTTTCTTACTTGGTTTCTTCCAAATGGTGGAGAATTTGGAATAGTGGTTATGCTTTTGTTTTCAGTATGACTCCAGACCATGATGAACTACTCTGAAGGGCTGTCCCCTCGTTTCCTTGACATCGTGCCCTGTCTCCCTTTCCCCCTCCTTGCTCCAGGCCCAGAGCCGCAGCTTGAAGCCGTCTACCTGCAGCCTGTGCTAGGGCCCTGGGCTTGGGGAGGGAGGATCAACTGAGGAGGACTATGGCCTCACACCTGTAGGGTCCACAGGGAGAGGAGGCCCTGAGCAGCCTGGAGTGGAGAGACAGGCAGGAGTGACGCGGAGGCTGCCTCCACGAGCATCAGGAGAAACAGCCTGTGGAGATGAGCTTACAGGAGGCCCTGTGAGGCTCTCCAGTTGCAAGGGAGAGAGTGGCTCTGAACTGTGCCCTGGCTGGCCCCTGGGTGGATGCTGGCCAGGTCCTCAGCCCCCTTCATCATGTCTTCCCCCCTCACACCAGGGCTGCCCCCATGTGCAGTGGGCAGGGAGGAGCCTGGGAGGAATAAAGGATCTTGGCAATCAATAAAGCATTCAGGTCTGTGCGTTTCTTTCCCTTCTCCACGCAGAATCAGAAGGGTCTTGTCAGGAATGCTCACTTGACCTCAGGTAGAGGCCCACTACAATACCCCACTGCCACAAAGCCACAGTAGTCACAGCACAGTCTACACTTTTATTTATCTGAAGAGGGCTTTTCCTGACAAGGCCCCTTTCCCTCACTCTGGCTAGCACCATGCCTCAAGACCAGGATGAAATATGGCAGGGAAAGGGATCCATGTTATTTCCTTCCAAGCTAACAGCGAAGTGGCCACAACTTTTGTCACCGTGCCATGGTCTGGGGCTTGGTGTCTTCTGAGACTTCTTCCTGTCCCTGCTGCTGCAGCTGCCACATATCAGCATATACCCCGCCTCGGGATAGCAGAGCCTCATGCCTGGGGTAGGGAGGAAAGCGTAAGCCCCAAACATCAGTTTTATCTTAAGGGTCTTCATTACCAGCCAAGAAGGGGGACAAAAGGGATGGGTAAGGGAGATAACCTCTAGAAACCCCTGGGACTTCATAACCTTCTCCTGGAGCTCCAACAGGGAACTTGCCCTACTCATCCCCCAGGGTCCCTTACCGTCCTCTCTCCACGATGCAGCCATCCTTGATGACGAGAATCTGGTCGGCATTGACCACAGTTGAGAGCCTGAGAAGTCACACACCGGTTACCCACCACACCACCAAAAGCAGGCCCACTCAGCTCTGCTTCGGAGCGGTGGTCCTGTACCTGTGTGCCACGACGATAGTGGTGCGGTTGGCACAGACTTTGGCTAGAGAGGCCTGGATGGCCCTCTCATTCGACGTATCCAGCGCTGATGTTGCCTAAAGAGAGGGTCGGGGTTAAATTGCCCTGCTAACCAAAACCCCCAATGGAAGGAGAATGCAGGTGGTCACTGGGCCTCAGGAATAAAAAGAAACTTGTTGGGCTTTGAGAACTGTTTAAGGTGTGCTGTGAAACCCAGATACATGTTCTGTCCTGGGTGGGAACCAGGTCCAACAGGAGTGGTTCAGGCAGCAGGCAGGGGAGGAGGAGGGGAAGGCTGCCGAGGGCCCTCACCTCGTCCAGCAGAATGATGTCAGGAGCCTTGAGGATGGTGCGAGCGATGGCAACGCGCTGCTTCTCCCCACCACTCAGCTTCAGGCCCCTCTCGCCCACCTGAGTCTCGTACCCTGTGGATATCCCCCACCTCCCTCAAGTTACATGTAATAAATTTGGTTTCTGTGACCAGATGAACAAGAAGGGAATGAAACAGGACTACATTGGGTGAGGCTGGGGTCTCTATGCAGGGGACCGTCACCTTCAGGGAAAGTCAGGATGGAATCATGGATGCCTGCAGCCTTAGCAGCGACCTCCACCTCATCACTGCTGGCTGTGATGCAGCCATAGCGGATGTTGTTGGCGATGGTGTCATTGAAGAGGACAGTGTCCTGGGGCACAACTCCAATGTGAGACCGAAGAGAGATCTGGGTCACCTGGGGCCAAAAGACCATATGCTCATCCCTGTGGGACTTCCCCAGGCCTACGAAGCAGGATGGGCAGGTGGGAGGCACGTGGGATGAGAAGCCCTGTGTAAAAGTCCTGCCATTGCCACCCCACTCCCAGTGTGGGCAAATCACTCATCCATCCTGAGTCTGTTTCACCATCTGTGAAAAGAAAATATACTTCCTCTACCTGCTTCATTGGATTGCTGCGGAAGATCTTTGTACCTGGCAGGGGACCACAGAAATCATTCTCACGAATGCTTATGGGCTGGAAAGGCTGGGATTTCCTGTCCCACCTTTTTGCAGAGGTGATATCTTCTACTCTCTCTGGACGCCCAGCACTTGCCATCCTTCCCCCCAACCCACAGACTCCTAAATCCTAGTCTTCCAAACTCCCTTACCTGGGAAATGTCCTGCCCATCTATTCGGATGCAGCCAGAGCTGATGTCATAGAAACGAAACAGCAGGCGCAAAATTGTGCTCTTCCCAGCCCCAGACGGGCCTACCTGGTGCATTGGAAAACAGAGGGAAAACATTCTCAGGCCCACTGGCTTTTCAGGCTCCCTCTCCAAGAGGCCACTGATGTCCATGGAGGCTGCCACATTCAGTCCTGTGGCTTGTCACCATGGAGCTCTGATTCCCCAGCCTGTGGAATGAGGAAAGCTCAAGGGGTCTGGGTGTCCTCTCACCAGGGCCAGAATCTGTCCAGGCATCACAGTGAAGGACACGTCCTGTAGAGTCTCCCGCCTAGAAGGCAGGGCAGGGCATGGTCAGCAGGTGTGCTGCATGCCCCATGCCCCTTTCCATCACCAAAGCTACTACTGGACCCTGTCCCATCCCTGCCCAGGCTCTCTTCCCCACTAGGAGAGGGCTGAAGTCCAGGGATTCACAGCAGGAGAGAGACAGGAAGACAGTTACAAATGAACAATGGGCAAGGACAGAGGCAAGTGGGGAGGGGCTCACCCATCAGCATAGCTGAAGTGCACATTCTCAAACTCAATCTGGCCCCTCTGAAAGCGAAGGGGCCCTGCTCCAGGAAGGTCCTTCACCTGGGAGGGTGCCACCGAGTGTCACCACTACAGGCCGGGTGTTCTCGAGACAGAAGAATCAGGCCCCCTGTTCCCCAAGCACTGCTCCTCTCACCACTCACCTCTGCCTCCTCTTTCAGCAGGTCAAACATGTTCTCCATGTCGATGAAGTTGGTCTGGATCATCCTGAGAGAAGGGTGGTGGTTGGGGCCCCTTGGAGAAGCTGGGGAAATATCAATGCACCCTGAAGAGGTGAGGGTCAGGGATCTGATTACCTATAGTAGGTGCCAAACCAGTTGAGGGGCATGTACAGCTGGATGATGTAAGTGCCAAAGAGCACGAAATCCCCGACCTGTGGAGACCCAGGGAATAGGATGGCATCACCCACCGGAGGCTGCAGGCTGCTCTCGTCACCCTGCCTACTTCCCACCCAGGAGCCTGGTGGCGCCTACACTTAGATCCTGAGCCCCTGCTTCCCTGTCCCTGGCACAATCCCCAGCCTCTCTCATGATTCTGCCTCACCTGCAGCTTCTGCTCACTGACAAAGTAAGCACAGAGCAGGGAGCCAGCGAGGAGCCCGAGTCCAATCACCAGATTCTGGGTCTGATTTAGTACCACGAGTGAAGCATTTGACTTCCACTCCAAATCCTGAGAGCAGTATGAAGGAGGGAGAGATGTCACATACACACTGACCGTCACCAAGTCCAAATCTGGGTCCAGGGATCTCCAATCTCACAATCCAAATTTTACTCCTCCCAGCCCGGCAATTCTGCAAGGCCAGGTCCTCGCTCTCAGCAGGCCTCAACCTGGCATCCTCACCTGATATTTGATGATGGCCTCTCGATAGCATTCCGCTTCATAACGCTCTGCGTTGTAATACTTTACCTGATGAACGTAAACCACCACAGTTCAGCATGGGCATAGCACTTGCGCCAGGATCTTTCCCTCCAGTCTCCCAGTCCCTCCTTCCCAATTTCAAACACCACACCCCACATACCCCCAGCTCTGGGGCTCAGAAAACCAGTATCAGCCCAAGTGGTCCCCAGTCACGCTCCTCCGAGATCTCCCTGCCTCACACCACTACCTCCAAGGCCTTCATTACCGTCTCAAAGTTTATCAGAGAGTCCACTGCTCGTGCCTGGGTAGCGTTCTCCTGGGTGTTCATCGCACGGCGAAACTTAGTTCTCCACTCAGTGACTACAATGGTCAGGGCTGGACAGTGACCGGGAAGGTGGGGGAGGGAGGGAGAAGAGATCAAGACCTCTTTTCAAACAACAGGGACCCAGTGTAGGAATCTGCTACCTGTGATACAGCATGGTGGCTCAGATTCCAGAGGGAGAGCTTTAAGCTCCCTGAGAGAAGAATCTAGGCCCAAGACATCTCTGCAGCCTGCACAATGGCTCACATGTGAAAATGGTTTCAGTAAACCAATGTAAGCAAACTGCACCTTGTTATATAAATGAGGTTTCTCTTTGATCTAATGTACCCAAGATGCCCTTCCCAGCTCTGCAACCAAGCTGAACTAAAGCTCAGTACGCAGAGGAGGAGGCCCACCCACCATGTCACCCCACGTAAGGGCAGAGCTCATGCCTGAGGGGTCCCTGGCGAGTCCAGGGAGATGTTTTCACCAAGCAGCACTCACTGAGGTAGAGGGTCATGCACAAGAACACAATGAGGCCAAACCAGGCGTTGAAGAACATGCTGAAGTAGATGATGCCAATGACGATGTCGGCCAGTGTGGGGAAGACGCTGAACACCAGGTAGCTAGGAGGGTCAGTTAAGCGACAGTGGACTCAGCTCAGCAACTCTCTCTCTAGGAGTTTCAGTACAGTGTTTTGTTTTCAACAGTTAGACAAAAATCATTTTAAATGTCCCTCAAGGGGGGGATGGCTAGACAAACCACAGCCCACCCAAATGACAGAATTTTCTATACCAATTATAATAAATAAATCTTCACACAGGGATGATAAACTAGCCCTGTAATGTTTCGTTAAGAAAGCAACTCTAAGAACGAAACCTATCTTACGACACCATGCGTTTTAAGAAAAACCTCCAGAGTATGGTCCCCAGACACCCTTTTAGCTCAGTGGTGAAGTCCCTTCTGAGGTTCACCATTCAGCCGGGAAGTGGACAGCCCCATAAAACCAAATGGGACTAATGAGGCACAGCAGTCCAGGGACAAGGACTAGAAGGCAGAAGGGGACAGGAAAGTTGGTGATAGGGAACCCACGGTTGAGTAAGGATAGTGTTGATGTGTTGTGAGGTTGTTAACCATTGTCGTAGGGCAACATGTGTACTGTTTAATGAGAAACTATTTTGTTCTGTAAACCTTCATCTAAAGTGAGAATAGCAGCACAATTGGAAGAGTGTAGTTGATACCACTGAACTGTGCATGTAGAAATTTTTGAAATGGTGCATCTTTGGCTATGTATAGTTTCACCAAAAAAAAAAAAAAAAAAAAGGTCAAGAAGGGAGAGGGTTGACATGTCGTGGGGTTGTTAACCAATGTCATAAAACAATATGTGTACTACTGTTTCATGAGAAATTATTTGTTCTGTAAACTTTCACCTGAAGTACAATAAAAAAATATATATATACAAAAAAAGAAAAACCTCCATAATACTACAGTAGTTCGGTGTGTCTGTAAATATACGTAAAAGCACAAAAAATGCAGAACTCAACATACTAAACTGAGAGATAACCTCTGGGGGCGAGTGAAATTCAAGAGGTTTGCTTTCTGTCCACGTTGAGTCGTTATGAGCATATTTGTGTATTAATCCTATAAAGGAACAAACAGGGGGAGAGGCAGCTTCTCAGGCTGGGTCTGTTCCCCTTCTGACAGTCCCTCAGTTCCTAACCCCTGCCAGGCCCCCTTCCCACTGCCCTGGCACCTGAGCAGCCCTGTGACACTGGATGTGCCCCGGTCCACGATCCGTAGCACCTCCCCAGTGCGGCGTCCCAGGTGCCAGCGCAGTGAGAGCTCATGCAGGTGGGAGAAGAGGCGCAGCTCCACCCTTCGCGAGGTGAACTGCTGTACGCGGATCCAGAGGAACGTGCGCAGGTTGCTCACGAAGCCTGCAGGGAGCCAGGGGAGGCCTCAGAGGGGCTTGGGACGCAGTGAAATCAGCCCAGCACCAGGAGGAGAGAGGTTTTTGAGAGCACAAAGGGGCCTGTCAGGGGACCAGGGGAGGTGCTCAGCAGAAGCATGGTAAGGAGGGCATGCCTATGGGAGGAGGGGGCCAGTACCACCCAAGGTGGGCGCAGAGTCCTCCTCATACCTGTACTGCCAGTGCCACCCCCCTGAAGGAACTTGAGAAAGACATAGGTGGTAACAGTCCGGAGCAGGGAGCTCCAAGGCGCCTTCTCGGTCAGCAAGTTCACTGGGGAGGAAACGAGTCAGAGCTCGCTATGGCACCTAGGATTCTTCAGGCAAAACTGCCCCAGGCCCCAGTCACAGCCTCTTCCTCACCACCCAGCTCCCACCCAGCTCTGTCCCACCTCCCTAGGTTAGGGCCACCCCACCCACCAGGCCAATGAAGGACCAGTGTGCTGAGCTGGCACCCCTTCCCAGGAACTCCCCCTCACCAATGTCCCTATAGAGAATGGGGACCAAAACATTCAGTCCCCGCTCTAGTCCCATGAGCCCCAGGCAGATGAGCACAACCAACTGCAACACTGGACTCCCCCGAGGCCACAGGTAGCCACTCAGTAGGCGGAGCTTCCTGCCCAGGTCTCTCCAGGTAGACCGCGGTGCCTCCTCTGCTGACCTAACCTAGGATAGTGAAACACACAGAGGAGGAAAGCAGTATAGCCAGAAATCAAAGAAACCCTCTAGAGAAGAATGTGTGTGATCATGGCTCCCAAGTATCTTAGACTCACAAGTGATCCCAGATGGGGTCAGAGAGACTAACAGGTCACAAACTGAGATTTAGGGTAGAACGAGTTCACTGTGGCAGAAAGGAATCTTGGTAGGGAATGAAATTAAGATAGACCCCAGGGTTCAGAAATAGAGCTATACCTGGCTCCTCTCTACATCTCCATCCTCTCCGTTGACCTGCAAGGTGTAGGACTGGGGACGAAGTCCAGGGGCCCAGAGCCCCAGGACAAATAGCCCTCCAGAGACCACATACCGCAGCACCCACAGGCTAAACTGGACCTAGAATGCAACACATGCGAGGAGGGTACCAATGAGGGCCAACATTCCATTATATTACTACTTACAGAGCTGGGGACTGGTATGGGGACACGCCCAGGTCCTCCCCAGGGGCCCAGCACTTAACAGGCTTAAAAAAACAAAAGAAAAAACCACCAGTGACTCAGCACAGGCACGCCCCACCAGCTGGCTATCAGCGCCCAGGCGACACCAGCCCCTCCCCTCTTTTTTTCCTTAAAGGCGTCCCAAAGCACGGAACCAGTATTACTGGACATGCCAGTGCAGTCTTTCTTCTCAAATCCAGCCACCGGTGCTTCTTCCTCTCCCACCAGGTCCCTCACCTGCTGGCCCACGTCCGTCCTCGCCCACCACCACTGTGGGCTGTTCCAGGACACCAGGGCCAAGTTCTCAGCTGCAAACGCCACAGTCCAGAGGAGCAGGAGTCCTGGGCTGTGCCTCAGCTTCATCCAGACGCCCATCGCCAGCCTCTGCCGTGCCTGGCTCCGTTCCACTATGAGTAGCCCCAAGCCACAGGCGCTGGCCAGAGTCCCCAATACGGAGGCAAGCAGTAGATAGCCCGGCAGCGGGGCCCCCCGGGCGGTGCCCACCCAGGCGGCTAGTCCGGCCAGGGGCAGCGCCACCTGAAGTGAGGCCAGAATGAGCTGCAGCCCGTAGGCAGCGACGCAAGGGCCGGCCCCCCAAAACAGCGCGTCGGCGCCAGCGGACCGCTCCCGACGCTTGCAGGGAAAGGCCAGCAGCAAGGCCAGAGCCCCCAGGGCAATCAGGGCCGAGGGCACGAGCGTGAAGAAGAAGCAAGGACTCAGGCCGTTCTGCGCCCAGGCCGGACCCACGGGCCCTTCGGCCTCGCAGTAGTTGCCCACAGTCACCATGGTAATAGGTGGCCGCCGGCCGAGGAGGCCGGGCCTAAGAGATGGGAGAACGAGACTCGCCGTTCGGGGCGGGGTAGAGCGAGGCGGGGCACGGGAGCCAAGGTGTCTAGGATCATTGAGCCGCCGAACGCCAGACCTCAGGGTCGCGGGGACGGACGCACGTGGACCCAGCCACACCGCCCACTCGCTTCGCGCAGGCGCCGCCGACACGCACTCACGCAGGGCACGTACGCCGTCTCCGCCCTTCCGCCCCTCCCACGCTCGCGGCCCGGGACCCTGCGCCCAAGCACACGCAGATAGGAATGCTCAGCCTCGGCGTCCAACTGGGGCGGCTCTATACGGCGACAGCCCCGCCCACCAGGCCCGCCCCCAGCCCCGATCCAGGGTCTCCATTGGTCGGATGTTTCCGAAGGGGCGGGAGAACGCTTTACACGCGAGGGAAGCAAAACAAAGGGTTTGAGTCGGGTTGGTCACGTGGGCAGGGCGGGAAATCTGACCGCATGTCCGGCTGGAGCGTGGGCCAGAAACGGCCCTCCGTCAGTCCAATGACAGCATGACCCTACCTCCTTCCAGAGCCCTAGGCACCTGGGAGATCACAAGCACCCCACTCCTCTTCTCCCCAGAATCTTTTCCGCGTGAGACAACAAGCCGAGACCTGGTCAAAGTCCCTTCTTTATTAAGGTTTATCAAGCTGTACACGGTCCCCGCCCCGTTCCACTGTGAGTTCGGGCAGCTCAGCAGACCAGAGCTGAGGGAGGGGTGGGGCAGAGGGCAGGGACTGAGTCCCAGCATGCAATGCGGCAGCCCAAAGCCTAGGCCGAGGCCTCCTGTCGCCCCTTACCCACCTCTAGGGGGCAGCGGGATGCAGGCCACAGCTCTCTTTGCTGGGAGGTAAGGGCAGCCAGGGGCACTCCAGCCCTGATCGTCCTAAGTGCAGGCGGCGGGGGTTGGGGTGGGGGTACAATAAGCAGCAATGGGGGCCTAACAAGGCCTCAGCCTCCTAGGGGCCCATCCTAAAAGTTGGAGGGGGCAGCAAAGAATTTCGATCCTGCTCCTGTGATTTAGAAACCTTCCCTCTTAGTGTCAAAAGGTAGGGTGAGGGGAGCTGGGAGCTAGGACATCCACCCCAACACAAAGCAAAAGCCGAACAGAAGGGGCAAGCGAACAGAAGGGGAGCAAGTGGCACACACGTGCCAGTGATGTGCGGAAGCGGGAGAGGTGAGCAGGCTGCAGCACTGGGAGAGTACTGAGGTGAGGTAAGGGCCACAGCCTGAGCTGTTCATCTACGCAGGGCTTGGGCGGCACTGGGTTTGAGGGCCCAGGCCCAACCACCCCACTCCAGTTGGCACAGGTTCTCCCTGCTTGGCAGCTTCTGTGGTGGGCAACCTTATGGAGAACTTGCAGGGGTGGGTGCAAAAGTGGCAGTACTGGGGCTGGGCTGGGGACCAGTTTCTAGCACCACACTCTGAGCCAAGGAGGGGCACGGGAATGAGGCTAGAGTCCTGTGTGCCCCTAGTTCCTGGGCCCCAAATTCCTCTCCTGGGGCTGTGGCAAGCCCAGTGTTGGCACCTCCCTTGGCCAGGCACGGACACACAAACACCACACACGTGGAGCCAGGCAACACTCAGAGGAGCCCTCCCATGGCGGGCAGATGGGACAGCAGGCCACTGGTGGCCTCCATCCTGGGGCGTAGGGACCCTCCTCAGGCTTGTCTACACCTGTGGAGAGAAGAGAGTTGGTAGTGGTGATAGTTTTCGACTGTCTGATCACCAACATAGAAGCCTGAGGATAAGGGAAGAGGAGAGCTTGATTTTGGAAAGGGAAGGGAAGGGAAGGAAAACTCCAGCTCTGGACTCCACAGCAGCTGGGAGAAGAGAGGAGTGTGTCTAGGAGAGGGACAGTGTAGTATCTCCACACTGGAGGCCCGTCCTCCTTCACACGAGAAGCTTCTGCCTCAGCCTGGCAGTTACTAGTTCTAGCAGTTTCTTGGGCCCTGGAGCCCTTACCTTATGCACCTGAGGGGGAAGCTCATCCTCCGAGCCCTCCTCAGGCACGGGCTCTGGATGCCTTGATGCTGACTGACCATCTTCAGCCCATCCTCCAAGGGGCAGCCGGGAGAAGTGAGAGGAAGCCCGGGGCACTGTGCCAGGATCTACAGAAGCAAGCAAGCAGACTCTTAGGACAAACGCAGACAAACAGCAATAAGAGGGGTTTTGGGGCTGCTGGGTGTGGGGGGAGCTAGTCCCCTTGGGCCTGGTCCCTCTGACCTCTTTCCACCCCTAGAGAGGCCCTGGAAGAGCTGTCCTTCCCTGCAGATTGTCTCCTCCTGTACCCCCACTGAATACCTGTGATGCCCCCGTAGCGCCTCTGGAAGCCCCCCTGCAGGGCGGTGGTCTCAGGTGCTCCAGGCCGAGGTGTAGCACAGGGATAGCTGGCAGACCTGGGGATAGGTTGGGGAGCCCGGGCGCCCTCTCCCCCATCTTCAGGGGCACTCTCCCCACTCTCGTCACTCTCTCGGCGGTGCCACACATGCCGCTCAGGTTCCGCCTGAGCCTGCTGCTTGTGGAGCTGGAGAAGTTGGGGGCTCATTAGTAGGGAACAGAAAGATGTCTGTCTGAAACAACTGCCCCCCACCATGGTGCCGGCCAGTTTCCACTTACACCCTGTCACCTGCAATCCCTGTCCCAGACCATGTGTCATATTAATAACGTGTAGCATATGCATGATGCTTTACTGGTTAGGTTCTCAGCAGATCCCTGGAAGAAGCCTGTGGGTAGGTTGTGATGGCCCTCATATTTACCTAGTCATTTGACTCAAGAACAAATTGCTTGAGGGTCTAAGTGCCAGGCACTCTTCTAGGTGCTGGGGATACAGCAGTGAACAAAACGTCCCTGTGGGGTTTATATACTGGTAGTGGTGGTGGCAATAGGAGATAGACAATAAACAAATCAGGAGCAGATACAGTATGTCAGGTGGTGCTAAATGCTATAGAGAAAAACAGAGTGGGAAGATTTGAGGGGGTGGGCAAGGGAGGCTTTTACTCAGAGTGGTCAGAAAAGGTCTCACTGAAAAGGTAACAGCAGAAACTGAATAAGGAGAAGGAAGGAATCATATGGCTGTCTCAGGGAAGAGTAGTCTAGGCAAGGGAAACTACAAGTATGTAAAGACCCTAGAAAGAGAGTAAGCTTAGCTAAGAAGAGTATCAAGAGGGTGTATGTGAGAAGGCAGATTACACAGCAGGTAAATAGCAAAGGAGGAATCTGAATCCAGGTCTTGCTTCTTCAGTTCTCAAACCCTCTAAACTATTTTCAGCTGCCACCTGGGTTCTGTGGCCCTGCACCTTCCCGCCCACTCACCTGGTGCATATAGAGGGCGTGCAGGCTCATCTCGGTGGACGCATATTCTGACAGCACCAGGCTCTGCAGCTGTCCTTCCCACACACTGCTCCCGGAGCTGGCTGTCCTGGCATCCACCCTGTCCCTCCCAGCAGACAGATAGCAGTCATCAACGTTTCTGAGACCTATACAAGTCGCTGGGGGCTCCTGCTATGGCCTCCCGTCTTGGCCCACCTTTACTCACCCAGAGCCTGTCATGGTGCTGGGAGCCCGGCCCGTGGGAGCCTGACCAGGCTGCAGAGGGGAGAAGGAACGCAGGGCAGAGGCAACTTCAGCCCTGTGCCGGGAGGCCTGCAGGTCTCTGGGCAGTGGCAGGCCCCGGCAGGATGAGCCGGCTACCACATTTGCAATGAGGCTCAATGGCTATGAAAGAAAGGGGCAGGTAGAATTCTCAGGGCAGGAGCAAGGCCTCTAGCTCCCCTAGTATTCTGCACCTTAGGACACAATGGTACGGCCAGAACAGACAGACGGAAACTGACAGGGTAGGCCCTTCCACCCTGAACCCGGTTCTTAACTCCCAGCTCCTAGCAGCACCTCCACCCATCATCTCCCAGTCCCCAGGAACATACCTCAGACTCAGATTGTAAGGACTGGATGGATGTAAAGAGGGCATTTTCAGGGAGCAGACCCCCTTGGGCAAGGCTAGCAGCTGCTCCATCCCGCTGAACCTGTTCCTTGAGGAAGCCCAGGAAGGCCGTGCTCTCACGCGGTGGTTGCCAGCCAGGGTTAGTGATGGCAAAGTGCATGAGCGACAGCTCTGTCTTCCCATCCTCAGCTTGCTGGTACACTGAGGCCTCTGTCTGCCCACCAGACAGCCACTGCACAGGGGAGCAACAGTGAGCAGAACTGTGGCCTGTCCTCTCACAGGGACCCTTGCTGTACCTCTCCTGCTGGGGTGGGGGGCTTGCCTCTGGAGGACAGAGACTGCAGTGCGTGGTCATATCTTGTCTAGGGGGCCCAGTACCCATCCCAGGAGTAGCCCCATGCAGGGACAGTTGCTTCGGTTGAACAATTGCTAACGGGTGCTTGGCCAAGGGTGCAAGGCGAGGGCTAAAATCCAGCCCAGGCTCCTGTTTACAAAGTAGTGTGTGCCCTGGTACAGGCTGCTTTTTTGTGATTTGTTGGCTCAGAGAGAGTACCTTTTGGCAGTTTCCCAAAGACACTGTACATGTCAGCACTGTCCCTGGCCACCGGGACCCCTCCTCCCCAGTACCTGGGGATGCCCGTGCTGGCGAACATCCATCTGAGCAAAGGAGCAGGTATCTCCAACGCCAACAACCTCCACAGTGAAATTGCGGAAGAAGTCTATAATCTCCAGGGCCCGTGGGCGGAGGCAGAAGATGAGGATGAGGGGTGTAACAATGGGGCTCAGCAACTCCTCCAAGATGAACACCTGAAAGAGATGGGACCAAGGTCACAAAAGAGCAGGCAAGGCGCCCAGCCCTCCCCACCAAGCTAGCAGGCCCTAACTCCATCTCCACTCACTGCCTTGTACTGGAAGAGCTGGGCAAACTCGTCCCGGGTCTGCGAGCGGTGGGCATTACCCTGCCAGTGGTCAGGCATGTAGTGGATGTGAGCGAGGATCACGCGGAGCAGCTGCTCAGGGCAGAATACCAAGTGCTGGTCCGGGATGAAGGACCTACAGGGAGAGGGTCATGGTGAGATGGGAGCCCTGCCTGGGAACACTAGTCTGCTTGCTCCCGCCTGTTGCCCGGGCCCACCTGCACACGGTCACGGTGACCCCCAGGAGTGTGACGGTGGTGAGGACGTGCTCCACAGCCAACACATCTTCATCGTAGATGGTGAGGGCAATGAGAACGGCCAAGATGGAGCCAGCGAAGAAGGCACCATTCTTGGCCAGCAATGTCAGCAGAGGTGACAAGAAGCAATTCATGTACTTGGAGGCGGGTTTGTAGCCGCGGTTGAGGCGGGACTGCAGCTCATGCTCCAGCTCGTTGAAGTGGCGGAGGTAGCAGCGGCCATAGAGTGACCAGCAGCGGGCTCCCAGGGCCCCAGGCTCCCGCTTCAGCACCTCAGCGTAGCTGAAGAAGGCATAGAGGATTTGCCAGATGAGAATGAGGGGGCACAGCAGGAAGTTGGCGATGCCAATCCACAAGATGCGGTTGCTGAGGCGCTGGGCCAGCTCTAGCCGTTGCCCCCCACGTTTGTACTCAGCCTTGAGGCTCCATTCATTGAGAAACAGAGAGCCAGGTCCCCAGAAGAGGATCAGCTCGAAGTTGTACTTGAGACCACGGGTGAAGAAGACGGCCTCCCCAAGGCCAGGCAGGCGGAAGCGCAGAGGAAGGAGGGATTTATTAACCAGTGCCACCATGTAGTTCTGGAAGCGGAGGATGCGGTGGTAGATGTCCAGCTCCGTCAGTTCACGCTTATGGATGCAGATCTGGTGCTCTTTCTGGGTCTGCACAATCCGGGCCTGCACTTCCTGCCACGTGCAGTACGGGAGGGCAGACTGTGGGGTGGAGCAGGGAGGGGGGAGGCAAGGTATGGAAGGTGGGGTTGCTGCTCAGCCCCTTAAACTCTGTTAGATGTGATGCTCGGGGTCGTGCGCTTAGCTGAGTGGAGTCAAAGCAAATGCACCCTGACCTGCCAATGAAGGATGAAGACCCCTGATGCCCAGGAATACATCCCACTCTTCCCAAGCTGCAGAAGACATCCTAAGCTGTTGTGCTAACTGCCCAACTCCCCAGTCTTACCATAGGGATGCGCAGAGCATGCAGGTAGAAGGAGTGAATCTCCCAGTAGCAGCAAATGTTATAGATGAACTTGATAAGCCGGTGGATCCAGAAGACACCAGCGATCACCAGGATGGTGATAAGGGAGCCATTTTCCTGAATCCTGGTAAGGGGAGAGAAGGGATGGAGGGTGGGCCTTAAGATGTCTTGGCAGTCATGCTACTGTCCCAAAGGATTCTGCTAGGCTGAGCCTGGGTCTGTGCTGGGGTATGAGTAGCTGCCTCATACTCCACTCCATTTCTCACCTGCTAGAGCACTACAGACTCTGATGCTCTTTGACCTGTAAGCTTTACCTGGCACTACAGACTTGGGCAGGCAGAAAGGCGTCTGGCAGAGTGACCTTGACAGGCTCGGTAGGGTGAAGACTGTGGTTCACCATCTTGTTGGCAAATAGGATGTCGTAGTCCACACAGCTGACCAGGAAGGTGGTGAAGGCAACCACAAAGAGGAACTGCCTGGGGAGTTGGGGAGGCACCAGTGAATAATGTGGGAAAAGAGAAGAGTCTAGAAGCAGCAGGACCATACTAGAGGTCAGCCTCAGGGGAGATGGGAAGGGCTGAAGAACCCCCAATGGGCCCTCCCTACTGCTTAGCTCCAGGGGACCTTCTCAGGCCCAAACCAGTTTTTTTTTTTTTTTTTTTTCCCCTTCTTTCTCTTAACCTCAGGCCCTACAAAATCAGCCTGCTTTCCTCACCTCATGGTAATCTCTGCCACCACCCACTGGACTCTTTCAAAGCTCTTATGGTTGTGGTCTCTGGCCTCCCTACTTAATGATTTCCTTTTGAGATGGTAGTTAGAAATCCTTTAGGGATTTGCGCTCTTTTCTTATTGAGGGAGAACTTTCCAACCCCTGCCTCTTTGGCAATGGCACATGGCTCCTTCCTTTTAGAAGGCTTTCTGCCTAGCAGCAGACCTAAGATGCAACTGAGGCAGAATAGAAGCATTTTTCTCAATAAGTGGCTGGCATCTCTGAGACCTTCTGACTGGACCATGCCCATTCCACTGAAGCGCTAATGAACTGATCAAAGTTTGAGTTCTCTTTACAGAAGAGATAGAACTTAGAAAGCTTTCCTTAAAGGGAAGATAAGAAAGGTGAGGCTCTAAGTTTTGGTGCCATATCCAGTTCCTGAACTATAAAGGTGTGTAGAGTTTTGAGCCTGGGACTGAGTTTCATTGGCAGCTAGGGCCAGGGGGGAGTGTAAGGAAAGGAAAGACTGAGGTATAGTCCTTTGCTATCTCATCTATCCCTTCTTATACTTACATGAGCTCAAAGATCTCCCCGATGAGCATACAAGTAAAGCCATTCTTCTGGTGTAGATTATAAACGTGTAATCGTTAAGAAAAAGTAGTCGGTAGAGGCAGCAATTAAGAGCACAGACTTTGGTGTCACACACCTAAGCTTAAGTCCTGGTTCTCTGACTTTCTAGCTTTGTGACTCTGGCCAAATTACTTAACCTCCAAGCTTTTTTCCACAGTGGTATATTGCGAGTAACAAGACCTGTCTTTTAGAATTATTAGGTCTGAAATAATACGTGCAAAATATTTAACATAGAGCTGACACAGAATGAGTCATAAGACATGAATTATTATGATTATTAGCAACCCATCAAAAAGGAGAATCACCCTTAGAGAGGTTACTTATAAATTAACACCACAAAGTGCAAGGGTACATAGCTCTCAGTAAATATGGGGCATCATTATTTATAACGATCGTTGTTTCCCCACCCTCTCATCCCCCTTCTAGGGATTAGAATCAAACCCACTCCAGCTTCCCATCAGAGACCTGGCCTAGAGATGCTAAAGATCCCAAAGTTCCAACAGAGTCACAAAGGATATTCGAGAGAAGAAGAGGTCAAGATTTTCAATGTGGTGCCAAGGTGCTGTGGGCACAAAGGCAAGGATGTCAGAGCCCTGAAGGAACGTGAGCCCCTTGCTCCCTCAGTGTCCCCCCCATCCCAGGTCTGGCCATCATGTCCAAGAACTCACACTTGCTCCCCTCAGGGACATGCACCAACAGGTCCTCCTCTCCTGGGGGTGAATCGCTATAGGAGGCCTCTAGGCGTTGGTATTCAGTGTCAAACTGCGCCATCACCGCCACCCCCTGTCCACCTTATCCACCTGCCGGTGATGAGGGAGAAGAGAATCTGGTTCAAGCCCAGAGGCTGCCCGCCTGCTGGCCCTGCCTACTTGGCCAGAAGGAGTGAGAAGGAATCCTTGGGCTTGGTCTCCACTACCAGCCTCCTCAGCCCAAAGGCAGAGGAGGAGGAGTAACCCAAGGAAGGCAGCAAGCTCAGGGCTTGGGAGGCCTTAACTCTGGTCAGTCATTCCCAGAGCCTTTACTGAGTTTCTGTTTCTCCCTTGCTGGCCTGAAGCCAGACTCTGCCCTTTGAGGGGCTGTTTCACCTTCTATTCAGTGGACAGAAGGGTCCCTCCCCCTGCCCTCCTGGAGAAACCCTGGTCTCCCAAGAGACTAGTAGTTTGGAAGCACTTAGTAAAACAAAGGTTTGAGACAAGCACATGGCCCTACCAGCTCCATGGACAGTGTCCGTTCCACTCCAGCCCTCGATGCCCTGGCTCTGCAGCTGCTGGAGGAGAAGGTGTCAGGCCCCAGAGAGTGGGGAGTGGGGATAGAAAGGGACTGAACTCTCCCACCCACTCCCACCTCCCATTAAAAGGAGGCCAAGCATGGGGCAGGGAGGCTGCAGTGGGGAAGAGGTACTGTTTCAGCTTAGGACTATGAATACTTCCTCTGGCTGTACGACACGTTCGACTCAGGGTTCCAAGAAGTGACTTATTGACCTGTGGAGATTGGGTCAGTGCAGGCCTGAGGTCCAGTGGCTCCTCTGAACTATCTCCACATTGCCTCACCTCAGCTTCCAAAATTAAGCAAGCCTCTCAGGATCCAGAAAGCCCCAAGCCCAAAACCCAAGAAAAGCCTTTTCTGAAGAGGCTGTTTCTGGTCAACCCCTTTCCCTGTTTCCCTAGCACCAGACTCAGCAGACAGGCTCTCTTGGAAGGGAAATCCTCACCGGGTCAGTGGAGACCCCAGATCCTGTATGAATTTGTGCGTTCTCTGGAGCCAGACATGATCTCAGTGGCACTCGCCCAGTTAGTGCAGACCCCAGGGCCCACGGGTCTTGGCCCAGTCTGGCCCCAGTGAGATTCTCTGGATTAGGGACCGCCCTGAGTCCAGAGACGCTGATCAACCCCTCAGGGAAAGCACCACTCACCGGGTCTGGATGGACTCGGGGCCCATGGAGCCTCGGCTGGGCCTGGGCTCGGGGGCTCCTGTGGATGTTGGAGCGATCCAGCCGGGCCTACAGTTGATAGCCCGGGTGGGCAGGGTTGCCTTCCCACATCCAGCCGCCACGACCCGAGCCCCAGGGTCGCCTGGTCCCAGACCTAGAGCTCGGCTCCCAACAGCGGACAACCTCCCGCGCGGTCCCGCTGCCACAGCGCGCCCCCACCCGCGCGCCCCTGCTATCAAAACATTCTGACTGCGCGTCCCCGCCCCGCCCGCGGCGCCCCTTCCCCCGTTACCCGCCGTGAGCTCCCTTAGGGCTCCGTGGGCACCCCTGGCTCGCCCCGGTCCAGGTCCTGGGATTCCGGTTACCGGTCTAGCGTTTCACCTCAGGAACGGTGACCCGGGTGACTCCCGACACTCGCTCGGCTCGGCCGGACCATGAGCGCTAGGCCCGGCGTCTGCCAGTCACTGTCACCCGCAGCCAGCCTAGTCAATGAGCATAGGGGGTGGAGGCGCGACGGCCAATTCTCTGCTCTGAGGGCGGGACTAAAGGCTCGAGGCGGGTCTTGCACAGCCAAAGAACCAATACTGGGCTCTACGTGGGGCGGGGCCGAGGTGCGGTTGATGTTGTTTGTCCCCTTCGCTGCTTCGTAGCGACGGGACTTGTGTTAGACAGAAGTCCAGGTTTCGAACTGTAGACGTGCGTGGCGCTCGGCTCCCTGGGATATTTGGGGTAACTTGTACAGGCGGCGGCTAGTTTATGCAGTTCAGTAGATACCGGAGCTCATTGTTCGGGTAACGAGGAGCGGTCGGTTACGGAGCATCAGTGATTTTTAACTCTGTTGGACTCGATTTGGTAGCTGAATGCTCCCCCATTTCACTCTGGTGTGGTCCTAGGCTGAGGGTTTGAAAAAGCGACCTGGGTCATGTATTTACCACGGATCTAACTCCTGAGTACCGGGGTGAGGGCCGAGGTACTTCGCGGCGTAGAGGAGACAAGTCTGGTAGTCAGGAGACGCAGCAGTAGGATCTCGCTTTAGGGAGTTCTGTTCCTTTCGCCTTTCTGCTCCTGCAGCAGTTTCTAAATAATTTCTGCTCAGCCATGTCGCCCGCTTCAGCTGCAGCCCCGGCTCCTACGTCGATCTCCCTGTTTGACCTCAACGCGGATGCTCTGGTCCTTCAGGGCCTGAGCTTGGTGAGCCACGCTCCCACGGAAGCTCTGGCCCAGGCCCTGCACTGTCCAGGTATCCGGGAAGGTTTGGGGTGGACCCACGAGGAAAGTGACGGGACTGTTTGGAGCTTGTCCTTATAGGTATTCCCCAGCTCAGGAGCCCACACTGACTTCTCTTTCTGCTGGATAAAATTGATCTCTTCAGTTGATCTCAGGGTAGTTTCCACCACAGGCCCGTGAATTGTCTCCAAACAAGTCTCTTGCCTTTGCCTGTGGTTCCTCTCATTAACACCGATACCTTCAAAAATTATTTATGTATTTGGTTTTACACAATTTTAGTTGGTTTCTGGTTATGTGTTTTCTTGCACGTCTCTTTAAACTACGTGCTGTAATTGGAAATGTAAACTAAAAAACTGGCATTTGGGATGTGGTTTTTGCAGTGAAAAAGAATTTTAACCATACCAAAAGGTATTTTCTGCAGGATTCCTCTAAACTATCTCTTTGGTTCATTTAAATTCAATGTTTGATTTGTATTCATTTTACATATATCTTTTCAGGAGTATATTGTATAAGGTGATTGCTATTCCACTTGTTTCACGATTGCTGGATTATAAATTCCTTGAAGATAAGGACATGCCATCTCTTTCTTTTGTGTTCTCCTCTGCTTTGTACTGTGGATTTGGACTCCTTTTCTACCTCCAGTTATCCTCCCCATATTTAGGTTCAGGTGAGAGAGCGAGCCCAGAAAGAAAACTACTCAAGTGTCCTCCGGATATTTCAGAGAAGTTATATTGTTCAACCTGTGATCGCACCTTCCAGAACCACCAAGAGCAGGTACAGGGCTAGAGTGAGGGCTAGATGTTGGAAGTATAGCTGTAATGGTGGGTGGGGAGAGGTAGACGTTTGTCTTAAATTAATGAAGTTCTGTGCTTTGACTGAAAACCCTGGCGGCGTAGTGTTTAAGGGCTACAGCTGCTAACCAAAAGGTTGGCAGTTCGAATCCACCAGGCGCTCCTTGGAAACTGTGGGGCAGTTCCACTGTATCCTATAGGGTCACTATGAGGCGGAATTGACTCAACGGCAACAGGTTTGGCTTGGTTTTTGGTATGCTTTGACTAAGGAAGCCAGTGTTACTTGTCATACTTCCTGGAGCACCATGCCTGCTCTTGGCTACCACATTTCCACTTTCTGCCTTCCTCTTTGCTTCCTACAGAGAGAACATTATAAGCTTGACTGGCATCGGTTTAACTTAAAGCAACGTCTTAAGGAGAAGCCCCTCCTGTCTGCCCTGGACTTTGAAAAGCAGAGCTCCACAGGTGATGACTGATGGGAAACCTGAATGGGAGTAGGACACTGGGTAGAGGAAGGCTAGTTTAGAAGCTTGGGGAAAGGTCAAAGTTGGAGTATGAAACTTGTGTATCATATTGCCCACAGGAGATCTTTCCAGCATCTCAGGATCAGAAGACTCAGACTCAGCCAGTGAGGAGGACTTGCAGATAGTGGATGAGAAGGCTGAATTCGAGAAGCCTAACCAACAACGAGGCTTCCACTCCCATCAAGTTCTTTTCCAAAATGCCCAGGGCCAGTTCCTCTCTGCCTACCGCTGTATCCTAGGCCCTCGCCAGGCAAGTGACAGCACAGGTTGTATGGTCAACTCCAGCCTTTTGTACGATCTGCCTAGATTTCCCTTTAGCCCAGTCTGTTTCTCACTTCTTCCCTCTCTTCTTGTCTGGGTATAGTTATCACACTTGACAGCCGTAGTCTTGGGTTAAACTGACCTGAATCTGGGAAGGATTAAGTGTAATGGAATTAAGTTTGGGAACAGACTGATCTAGGTTTCAATTGTGGTTCTACCACTTGCTCTTGGCTACCACTACAAGCCTTAAATTTCCTCATTTGTAAAATGGAGACTGTCCTCAGGGTGATTGTATTAAATGAGATAGCACTGGCACTTGGGAGTCTTTTCAATATTGGTTTGTCGCTTTCAATGAATGCAACAGGTAGAATGTTTGTGCTTCTCCTCTTTCACCCAGGTGCCCCCAGAAGAGGCAGGACTGCTGCTACAGAACCTGCAAAGTGGAGGTCCCGGATACTGTGTGGTGCTTATGGCTACAGCTGGGCACTTTGCTGGTGCCGTTTTCCAAGGGTGAGAGGGTGCTGTGTGGGGTGAGGACGGAATGGATCCTGTTAGCCTGGGAGCACCAGCTGGTCTGTAGTATTGAATCTGTGCTGTCTACAGAAGAGAAGTGGTGGCACACAAAACCTTTCACCGCTACACTGTGCGGGCCAAGCGGGGCACAGCCCAGGGGCTTCGGGATGCCCGGGGTCGGGCTCCTCACTCTGCCGGGGCCAACTTGAGGCGCTATAATGAAGCTACACTATATAAGGTGAGTTAGACCTCCCAGATCTGGTGGTCATCTGATCCACACTTTTTTCCCCTCAGTTCAACTCAGTAAATGTTACAGTGTAAAGGTTTTTTACTCCTATATCTTTCCAGTGTTCGTCATTTCTGGGTAAACAAAGGTAGAAAAGGAATCCCCAGGGGCCTTATACTCTCATTCTTTCTCTCTCTCTGTTATCCCCTACCTCTGTGATCTATGGGTTTTTTTGGTTGGAGATTTTCAAAAGCAAGTAGAGATGTGCAGGGCTGAGTTACTCTCTCCTCTAGGAGGTTCGTGACCTGCTGGCCAGGCCAGGCTGGGCTGAGGCGCTTAGGGAGGCTGGGACCATTCTGCTGCGTGCCCCCCGCTCTGGCCGATCCTTGTTCTTTGGAGGCTGTGGGGCACCCCTGCAACGGGGGGATCCCCGACTTTGGGATATCCCCCTCGCCACCCGTAGACCCACCTTCCGAGAGCTGCAGTGTGTGCTCCATAAGCTGACCACTTTGCATGTCCATGGTGAGCCTCTGATCCAGATCCCCAGACCCCTAGATTCCTTAGACCTTCCTGTACTTTCCAGCCTCAGATTCTCATGTGTGCATCCAAAGATTTTCTAGCACTTAAACTGCAGCCCAACCACATCTTCATTGAGAAACCTGGGCTGGCTTCTCAGCTATGCTTGAGAACCATCTTTTGTTTTGTGGCAGGAGAGGACCCCCGGGAGACAGTCAGATCAGACTCACCTCAAACACACTGGAAGACAGTGAAAGAGGAGAGGAAGGAGGCTATTGAGGAAGAAAGAAGAAAGGTCCCCAGCAATGAAAATGAGGCACTTGGGAAGAATGCAGAGTCTCCCAAACAGGGTTTGAGCAACATTTGTCAATTGTCAAGTCCCTATATGGGTGTCTATCCTGAAACACAGTGGCAAATTCACTACCCAGATAACTCACCCATTTCCCTATTTACAGACGGGTCCTTCATCCCAACATACATATTTACACACACACCAGTGTCTGCTTGTAAAATGGGATATGTCATAGCAATTACTGAGACATATTAAGTAACTGTCTTCCCAAGTGTATTATCTCTTGTTCATTGATGTATCCAATCATCTTGACACAGAATAGATACTTAAATAGTCACATTGCAAGAATCTATTCTTTGCCTGTCTTACTGGATACTTTGGTTTTGGGCTAAGAGTTGCTTTCCTGGCCGCAGATCCTTGGCCTACATGACAATAACTGCTACCAGCCTTTCCTTTATTGCACACCATCCTAGGGCGAGAATTCAGGGACTTTTGTCCCTGCATATCTCCTTCTGGGCCTGTCCTCATCTGGGCTGACAGCCTCATTTCTGCATGTGATACTAATGGATTCAGCTCTTGATGTGCTACTTAATCTTAGGTGACAAAATAAAAACAATTTCATTTCAGGATCATCTAGATTATCTCTTTATATACATTTTTATGCACCTGGGGCAACCCATATCCTTCCACCCTCTGCTTATCCTTTAGATGGGTCTAACAAGTCATATTTTTCCCTACGTTCAGGGTTGGAGGGAGAGGACACCTTCCAGGTGGAGTTGGAGCTAGTGGAGATGACACTGGGGACTCTGGATCTTCGTGAGTTTGAGGTATTGCCCAAGCAGAGCAGGAAGAAAAGGAATAAGAAGGAGAGAAGTCGGAACTTGGAGGCTGGGGCACATAGGACTCTCCCCCAGCAACCTCAAGAAGATGAGGCCCTCACAGAGTCAGCCCTGGCAGATACAACCCCCTTGGGGCCTTTGCTGGATGAGGCCAAGGCCCCTGGTCATCCAGAGCTCTGGGATGTGCTTCTAGCTGCTTGCCGAGCTGGAAATACTGGGATGCTGAAGCTCCAGCTAGCTGCCAGCCTCACAGACCCTGGAGTTACGTCTCTGCTCAGTGCCCCCTTGGGCTCTGGTGGCTTTACACTCCTACATGCAGCAGCCGCAGCTGGGAGAGGTTCAGTGGTTCGCCTGCTGTTGGAGGCAGGTGCCGACCCCACTGTGCAGTAAGTGAGGGCCCCATCCTGAGCCATTTTGGGTCTAGAAGATGGTCTGGAGGCTAAAGTTGGCACTGGCTACTTGATGGTATTCCCTTGGTCTGGTTAGGTGATGCTGAGGCAAGTTGAACCCATTTTTGGGGGTTTCACACCCAGGGACTCCCGGGCCCAGCCACCATATACGGTTGCAGCTGACAAATCAACACGTAATGAGTTCCGAAGGTTCATGGAGAAGAATCCCGACGCCTATGATTACAACAAGGCTCAGGTCAGCTGGAAAAGGAAGGAGAAGCAGAGTGGGAAAGCATCACAGATCTTGGCCAGATCTTTTCTATTTTCTTGCAGTTTTACTAAGGCTAGCTTGTATGGATCTTACCTAATACCTTCCCTGAAATTATCTAGGTGCCAGGGCCACTGACACCAGAGATGGAGGCACGGCAGGCCACACGGAAGAGGCAGCAGAAGGCAGCCCATCGGCTCCGGGAGGAACAGCAGCGGAAGCAACGGGAACAGGAGAAGCAGGAGCAAGAACAGCAGCAGAGATTTGCTGCCCTTAGCGACCGAGAGAAGGTGAGGCTGGAGGTTTTCTCTTCCACAGCAAGACTTCCTTAGAGGTCTAATCCCTTCCCCAGTAAGCAGCTGCCATTTCTTTGGTACCTCATCTGTGACTGGGACCTTGTCCTTAACACAACTGCTCTTCTCCTCAGAGAGCTCTTGCTGCAGAGCGCCGACTAGCTGCCCAGTTGGGAGCCCCTACCTCTCAGATCCCTGACCCTGTGATCATCAATGTCCGGTATGAGGGGGTAGGTGTGATTGGGTGGAATATTATGTTGTAGGGACCATTTTGGGCAAGTGGAATGGGTGCCTACACAGTATCCACAAGGGTTGTTGAGGGGATTTGAGATGTTCTGGGAACCTTTGGAATGAAAACAGAAGTGTCAGGAAGGGCAGAGAAGGCTTAGATTGGAAAGATTTGGGGGTACCTGTCCAGCCATTGTTCTTCATCTTCTTCAGACGCTGCTGGAGTTGTGGGACATCCCTCCAAGGCCTCATTCCCTTTCATTACCTTGATTTCTCTTTCTGCTCCACACGCTGCCTGCAGGATCATCGCTCTCGGGCTGGGAGGCCCTCTTCCTGATCTCTTACAGCTCCACCTGGGGCCAACTCTAGACCCTGAGAGGGCACATTCACACCAGCTCTAGGTTTCTTCCCCAGGAAGCCAGAGAGTATTTGGAAAATTAGGGTGAGGGACACTCAGGAACCAGGGCAAAGACAGGGCCACAGAGGTGTGTGGAGCTGGTACTGTCTCTGGAACTTTAATCACAATAAAGTTTGGCAAAGAAACTGCACTTGTGCTTCCATCCAGGCCTTCTGGCCTTTGGTTCCTTATGGTCACCGTGGCCAGCACCAAGGGATCCTGACTACTTCATGTCCCAGGTCCAAGGTTACCTTTCTTTCAGTGCCCACTTAACTCCATTTGTTCACCAGCTGAGAGGGAATAGAGGTATGTCCTATACAAGGTGCTATTGAGGATAGGCCTGTCCAGAAATTGGATTTGGGGCCTGGGAGGCACATTTTCTAGCTCCAGCAATGTGATTTTGTTGAAGGTTCCCCTAGGAAACAGCAGGGGTTTTGGCACATAGAGGGTCTGTTGTGGTCCCCGCTTTGTCCAGTACCGGCCCAAGTTAAACCCATTGATCCAGACTTGGCCCTAGGGAGGGGAGTGGGGAAAAGAAAGGGTCAGCTCACAAGGGAGTAGAATCACCCCTCCCCCCTTTTTGGGTTTCCAGTCAGAGGAGTACTTTCTGCTCCCCCTCCATCCATTATTTTCCTCTTTTACCACCATACCACTACCACCCCCCAATCACCACCATCGGCAATACCTTGGACCATCCAGGTAGATAGAGAAATGTGTCCCCGACTAAGCCTAAAATTGGAAACGTTGCAGAGTAGAAGGTGGGGCCAGAGGGAGTCGAAGGTTGTGACCTTTTCGGCAGCTGGATAGGAAACCACCACTTTACAAGATTATCAATTTTCAGAGGGAACATGAGCCACTGGGTAAGGACTACGTGCCCCATAAGTGGTGGCTCTAATAGGCCCTGTGGGGAAGGCAAATGAAAATTCATCATCCACTCATCTCTGGGGTCAAACTAGATCACTAACCAAGCCCTGGGATATAACTGGTAACCATGTCCAGATCCCTGCAAGCCACTACTTCTCTGCCTGACTCCAAAGGACGTGGCTCTGGTTATTCTGCATTAGGCCCCTGTCCTTCTAAGGCAGGACGGTCAATAAGGGTACGGGGAGTAGGTGTGGGCAAGGCTAGCTCACCTTGAAGTCACTGCTGTTAGACCCGAAACTGAGCCTCCCCATGTTTTCCACCAAGACATCCAGTTTGTCCCCCATTTTCCCCGTCAAAAATAATCTGTGTTTTATGTTTCGTTCCAAAACACCCTGAAACACCTGTGGATAAGAGAGGGCTCTATGAGAAGAAGGACTCAGCATCTAGCTCCGGCTGTTATACAGGAAGCCTTTTTGGAGGGCAAAGAGAATGCTAGCCCATCTATCAGTTAACACACGCATCTTTTCTGGAACTCTACTCTTAATCAACTTTCTCCTCCCAGCGTATCCCTGGACCCCCTGCAAATGTGAGCAGACAGGTGGAAAAAGATAGCTATGGGAACTTAAAGCTAAAGCATGCTGCGGAGGGAAGTCAGCCTGGAATCAGGCTCTCACCCCATTCACCATCACGTAGGCACGGTCGTGGAGTCCATTGTTTGGCACCCAGAACGATGTTGGCTCTGTGAAGGTATTGACCAGATGGGTCCGGTACAACATAAAGCCATGGTCCTGGGTATGGAAAAACAAGTACTTAAGATGAACTGAGAGATAAGAAAAGATATTGTGGGGAAGAAGGGTAGCTGGAGGGAACCTTTGGCTATGGCTGTTGGGGAAGGTTTCCAAACCTATCAGGTGTGAGTTTATGCCTTACCTGCTTGACAGCCTCAAAGGTCATTGGCAAGATTGAACGGATGGGCCCTTGGGGGCACAGGAAGTCTAGGAATGCCAGCAAACTCCCATCCTATTAGAATATAGGGAAAGGGTCAGAATAGGAGGGAAGTATCAGGATAGAGGGACAGGACAGGATGAAATGTTAAGAGAATAAAGGAGAAATAGAGAAAAGATGAAGAGGAACTTACCAGGTGCAGAGTCAAAGGTCCAAGCATCATCTTGGGGCTGGGGGCAGGTAATGGTCCCAAGGGAATTTCCTGGAACTGAACCCAAATTCTCTCAGGAGCCATGGGAAAGCGACAGGAACAACCCCTATTCCAAGGCCCAAGAGCAGGAGCCTCAGGTAGCTAGGGTCCAGGGAAGGGTTTCAGGGGTCATAAAAACCCTGTAATTTTGCACACGTGTGTGTATCTCTCCAAATAGTCACACGTTGGTGGGAAATGCTTTCATGGGACACTCAGAGGGCTCTGTGGCTCAGGCAAGAAACACCGCTTTATGGGATCCCTTTACAAACAACTTGACCACTCCCCCGAAATTAATAAAAACCTTTGGAGCTTGATGAAGTGATAGGGCACCTTGCTGATGACATTTCGAAGAGCAAAAAGCTTAGGTGTGGGGTCTCCTGCTTCAGAGAGGGGTGCATCATAGTCATAGCTGGTAGTAATTGGAAGGAAGTACCCCTTCTCATCAGCACCTGGGGTTGAACCAATTTAATTAATTAATTTAACATAAATTTCAGATGATAGGCAATATGCAAAGAAAGGGTTTGATGTGGTGAATTTTGCCATTAGAGGTAGCAGCAGTGGCCATACCCAGTTTCTAGACATCCTGAACGATCCAGCCCTCAGGTTCTAATTCCTTGCTACCTCCCTGCTTTTTTTTCTGCCCCAGGGACCATCTGGACTCACCATTCCAGTATCCAAAGTTGGTACCTCCATGGAACATGTACCTGAAGTGGGGGAGGGTAGAAGGAAAGGTAAAAGCTGACCCATTAAATCTTAACTTCAATCCCCAACTCCCAGTTACAGATTCACATTGACCCCAGTGCCTCCAGTTACATGTTCACACTGGCTCCCAACTTCAGCATGTTCTCTAGTCCCTTGGTTACAGCTGGAATGGACCGTGTGGAGTGATTCTGGCCCCAGTAATCCAGCCAGCCTGTGTAGTACTCAGAGTTCACCTAGAGTGTGAAGTGAAAGGAAAAAGGGGTGAGTGAGATGGGAACCAAGCTTGACCTGTTCCCATCCCTGACTCTTGCTTTGAGTCCCCACCCTCTGGCCCCCTCACCAGTGGCCCATGGGGTTCATACTTCCGAAGCTGGGTAAAGATTTTGGTCATGTTGTCAGCTGCAGAAAGGAGGCAAAGGTGAAAAATAAATATCATAGAAGAGGTGCCCCTTCCCCTGACCATATTCCTATCCCTTGCTCAGGAGACCTGGGCCAAAATCTACAGTGGTATAGAGTCCCTGGAGGGTGCCACATCTGAGTCCTTCAGGCCCATCTGTGGTGAAGAGCAAGATCTTGTCTCCTAATATTGTACGGAAGAGCCCAGCCAAGTGTCTCATGTAGCTGAAATCGCAGGCCTTATAACTACCATATTCATTCTCCACCTGCCAGGAGGAAGGGAAAAAGGAGTTCAGCTGTGAAGTTAAGGACTCCCTCCACCCCCTTCTCCTTGCTCAGTCAACTTTCCAGTTGTACCTGAATGCTAATGATGTTGCCCCCATTGTGGTACAGCCATGGATATATCTTGGGCAGCAAGACCTGGAACCAGGAGTCCACTGCAGCAAGGAAGTCTAAAGGAAGAAGCAGCGCTCTCTGAGCCCACAGTGCTCTGCTCATTAGGGGCCACCACAACCTCTGCACACACACATACTAACTAGCATCAATGCTAACAACTTCGTGCTGACGGTACTCAGGACTGCAGTCTCCATCCCACTTACCCAAACCAAACCCGTTGCCACTGAGTCGATTCCGACTCATAGCGACCCCGTAAGACAGAGTAGAACTGTCCTATATAGTTTCTAAGGAGCACGTGGTGGATTTGAACTGCCGGCCTTTTGGTTAGCAGCCGAGCTCTTAACCACTGTGCCACCAGGGCTCCTCCATCCCACTTGTTAGGTGTCGTCAAGTCGGTTCCGACTCTTGGCAACCCTGTGTACAACAGAATGAAAGACTGCCCGGTCCTGTGCCATCCTCACAATCATCGTTATGCTTGAGCCCACTGTTGCAGCCACTGTGTAAGTCCATCTGGTTGAGGGTCTTCCTCTCTTTCAATGACCCTCTACTTTACGAAGCATGATGTCCTTCTCCAGGGACTGATCCCTCCTGATAACATGTCCCAAAGTATGTGAGATGAAGTCTTGCCATCCTCACTTCTAAGGAAGATACACATTCTGGCTATACTTCTTCCAAGACAGATTTGTTAATTCTTCTTGCAGTCCATGGTATATTCAATATTCTTTTCCAACTCCATAATTCAAAGGCATCAATTCTTCTTTGGTCTTTATTCACTGTCCAGCTTTCACTTGCATATAAAGCGATTGAAAAAGACCATGGCTTGGGTCAGACACAACTTAGTCCTCAAAATGACGTTTGCTTTTCAACACCTTAAAGAGGTCTTTTGCAGCAGATTGCCCAATGCAATGCATCGTTTGATTTCCTGGCTGCTGCTTCCATGGGCGTTGATAGTAGATCCAAGTAAAATGAAATCTTTGACAACTTCAATCTTTTCTCCATTTACCCCACTAAATCTGGGAAGCACTGACTCATGTCAGAAGAAACTGAACCCTAAGCATTCATATATTTGCATATCAATGTAATTTGAACATAGGAGACCTTAAAGCAGTGGTTTTTTTATAAACTTGTTTTTTTAACTGTAATGAAAATGTTAAATATATCTTATAGAGCTATTATTATGTAATCAGCTTATACCAGAGATTGCTATGAAGTAACGTGAATTTACAGAAATGCGTAATGTGTAATCTGTACCCTAAAGTACATTCCAGCCAACAGTTGAAAGATCCCTGGTTTACATTAGGTAGCATGCCTTAAAGTCTCAACTCCTACTTGTGATTTTTGTGATTCATCCTCAGATATGCATGCATGTTATTACTTCTGCCTGACATTTTTTTCTCCCCACTTCCTTCACCTGGCCAACTTCAACTCATGTTTATATCTTACTTCTTCAAGAAAACCCTCTCTGATACCTGAGCCATTTGTCGTTGTCTGCCTTTTTCTGTTAAATCTTTTGTCTCAACTCACCTGGATCTGAGGTTCTCAGATGAATTTTAGGTTTTCGAAGCAACCAGGATGGGAGACCCCCCTGAGACAGACATAAACACAAGGAAGAGTGTAGGTTTTGTTGTTCGGGGGTGGAGTTGGGGGTGGGTAAGAAGGGAGAAATTGAATGCAGTGCTGGAAGTGGTCCTACGGTGTGGGCAGATGGGAGTTGTCTAGGTATCACACAAGGGTGGCTTTGGTTCTTCTACTCCTTCCCCTAACTCACCATCTCCCACTCCGCACAGATGTAAGGTCCTGGTCTCAGTATGACCAACAAGTTCGCCTTATTTGCCTCATTCAGAAATGCAATGAGGTCCCGGCTGCCATTAAAGTTATAGACCCCAGGCTCTGGCTCATGGTAGTTCCAGGGCACGTAACTGGAGGAAGGAAGAGGTTAACAGGGCCCAAGGTGGGGAGGTGCCAGAGAGGCCTAAGGGCTCAGGCCCTGCAGGGAATCTCCAGGAAGCAACTGGAAAAAGGCCCGGCCCGCCCTTTCCCACCCTTTGCTTGGGAGCACTGGAGCTCTAACCCCTCTCCCTGCTGAGCCAGTCTTCCCGCCCCAACCCTCTCCCGAAGGGGTGGTACGAAGGGTAAACCCCGCCCTTCCACGGCTCTCGGGACTTACAACTGTATGGCGTTTAGGCCGCTCATTCGCATTTTGAAAAGTCGGTCTGCCCAAAGCACCCGCGGTACCCGGAAGTAGTGCAGGCTGCCAGATACATAGCGGAACGGAACCCCGTTCAGGAGGAACCTGTTATGATCCCGATCCACTACGAAAGACCGAGTGTCTGCCTGCAAAGGGAAGTAGAGACAGTGCTCAGCAGAGGTCTTCTGGAGTGGGGATCAGCGTCTGCCAACAGCGGAGAAAATGGAAATAGCCATGCCGGTTGTCGTCATTTTTACCTTCCCTACATCTGCAGGATCTGATCCCGCCTCATCGAACCCGGCCGGCCGGCTCAACCCTCTTATCTTACCTGATGCAGCAGCAGCGTCAGGAACGGCAGCAGCAGAGAGGAAAGGCAGGGCGACCTCTTGGGAGCCATGGCGCTTGCAGGGCTCCTAAGCTTAAGACTGCGGTCCGACCGTCACGTGGCGGATTCCTGGGAGGGAACCTCAGCGAGCAAGGAGGCGGAGACCACCCCAAGTTGCCAGACGATTACCCTGGACTTTTGTCTCCAGCCTGCAGCCACCCGCCACTCTACTAAATTGTAAAATCCTCTACATCTCGCTACTCAAAGTGCGGTCCACGAACCAGCTTCATCAGCATAACCTGGGAGCTTGTTAGAAATGCAGAATCTCAGGTCCTACCTCAGACCTATGGAACCAGAATTTGTATTTTAACAAGATCCTCAGGCGATTCTAAGCACATTCAAGACTGAGAAGCACAGCTTTACTAGAATGAACTCCCTGAAGGCAAGGAGTGCCTGGTCCATCTTAAATCCTTCAGAGCCCGACACACAGCAGGTTAAATCTAGATGAATGAATGTCAGAACCAAGAGGCTAAAACCGGTTCAGAACCAAGGGAAACCTAGGACAATCTTCCCCAAAATCTGGGTATGAAAAGGGAGAACCAGGTTACAAGAGGGATGTTTTTCCTGGAGAGCCCTGTTTGAGCAAAAGGGCTCATCCTGGCCATTCATTCCATCTTATCCCCTCACCATCCCCCTCCCCCAGACTTATCCCTGCCTGCCTGAGCAAGAGATTTTAAGAATAACTGCTTGATGCCAAGGTTTGGGAATTTGTGAGCCTCCATTCCGCCTGCTTTCACAGTCCCAAGCCTGGGATGTGAGGACCAGAGTAATAATAATTATCATTACTGTTTAACACTTACTGAGGGCTATGTGTTAGATATTGTGCTAAGCACTTCACATCTCACTCTGAGGTAGATAATTATCATGCCCATTTTACAGATGAGGAAATTGAGCGACAGAAATACTAAGTAACCTGTTCATGGTTAGACACTAGTAGCGCTGGGATTTGAACTCAGCAGTCTGGCCTCACGGTTCAAGCACTTAACCATACAACCTTCAGGGCTCTAGCGTGTATCCCAGAGGTACGCTGTGGCATGAGATAGAAAGGCTGAAGGATAAAGACTAGGGAAAGTGAGGCTCAGAGAGGTTGAGTAACTTGTCCCAGGTCACACAGCTAGTAGGCTATTAAATTCGGATTTAGACCCTGGCAGTCTGGTTCACGAGTCTGATCTTAACCACTAAGACTAGGGTGGTGGGATACAGGCCAGAGGCCCGAAGGTTGTACGGCTTCAGAGCTCAGAGCTCCAGCAGTCCAGTCCGCGAGCACTTGCTTCTCCCTGCATCCCCTTCCGGGCTGTACAGTAGACCTTCGCTTTCCGGCCCCAGCGCGCCGGAGGTATGAGACGTCCTACCTCGGGCATTGGGAGATGGGAGGTCCTGGGGGCCTCGGGCCGGGCCCAGCTTTGCTCCCCTTTGGCGCAAGTGCCTGCGTCTTGACCTCTATTGAAGGTCACTTGGGACCCCTCGCCTGGGTCCTGGGACCCGTCCTCCCCAGGCCTAGCCTGTCCCGGGCTTCGCAGCTCTGCGCCCCCACATCGTCCGGGTGCCCAGCGGTTGCTATGATACCGCGGGCCGTTATGCCGGCGCAGACTGATGATGTAACCACTGTTTCCGGCCGCAGGCGCTTCTCTCTCGCCCGAGCCAGGTCAGTGGGAAGCTGGGGTTGGCGGACCGTGAACTTTGCGCGTGGTTGCCCAGGGTGGGCCCTGCAAGGGGTGGGCCTCATCCTCGCACCTCCCGCGAACTACCCTGCCCTGCCTTTGCGGTCCGACGGGCGTGGGAGCGGGGGTCGCCCAAAGGTGGGCTTAGGTTGGCGGAAGCGGTCTGGTAGTTGCTACGGGGCCTGAGACTTTAAGGCACCTGACCGTAGCCTTCTTGGAGCAGGTGTCGCCAGGGCCTGTTTCCTCTAGCCGGGATCATAGGTCCTCAGATCTAGGCCTGTGCTGTCCGCATTGGTACCTCAGGAGTCTTCAGGACTGTGCCAGACCCGCAACTTTACCTTTCTGTTCCTTACAGCATGATCTGCTGGGCCCTTAGTGCATCGCCTGGAAGAGTCCACTCATCCTGAACGAACTCCTCGGTAGCCTCAGGCCATCTTTGAGGAGGATGACTGAGACACTATGGGCCATGCGCTGTGTATCTGCTCTCGGGGAACTGTCATTATTGACAATAAGCGCTACCTTTTCATACAGAAACTGGGGGAGGGGTGAGTGTTTGGAAATCACTTAGTGAGTCCCCAGGTTATGGTGATTGAAGGACGCCAGTCCACACGATAGGGGTATAAGGGTTTTAGCTCTGCCCTCTGAGTCACCTGACAGGGCCTAGCTGCAAGTAGTCAAGAAGGTGAATTCTGGAGCCAGGACTCCTAGATCCACCTTGTGTGACTTGGTAAGCCATGGTTTTGACATATGCTTAATGGGGATAATGATCATGTCTCACTGATGGAATTGTGAGAATTGAGATGATGCATATAAAACGTCTAGCCCAGTGCCTGGTCCGTAAGCACTTGGTAAATGTTGGCTATTATTCATTTAACGTTTATTGAGCATCTGACAAGTACAGAACTCTGTGTTGTGATCATAGGACCTCCGAGATGACTATGTCCCTGTTCTTGAGAAGCTCAAAGTAGAATAGTCTTCAGATGGGTTTCTACTAAATGGGAAATACAGCCCTCTTCCCCCAGGGAATTCTTCTGGGTCTAGGCATTGTGGGAGATGACCATGGTCCTTCACTGACCCCTTTGGCCCACAGTGGGTTCAGCTATGTGGACCTAGTGGAAGGGTTACATGATGGACACTTCTACGCCCTGAAGCGGATTCTGTGTCACGAGCAGCAGGACCGGGAGGAGGCCCAGCGGGAAGCAGACATGCATCGCCTCTTCCATCACCCCAACATCCTTCGCCTCGTGGCTTACTGTATGAGGGAGCGGGGCTCGAAACATGAGGCCTGGCTGCTGCTACCCTTCTTCAAGGTCAGAAGGACTCCTGGATACGGAAGGGGTTGCAGTAGAGCCACTTACTAAGGGCTGTGTGAGCAGTCAAACATGTCAGGAAGCAGGGACCATGTCCTGGATTTGGCCACTCAGATTTGGGGTTTAGAGGAACCCAAGTGGGATACATGGAGTCACCATGAGTCAGAATCAACTCAGCGGCACTTGGTTTTTCGGTTTTAAGTGGGACTGGGGTTTGAGGTCTGTGTGGTGAAAAGGTTGATAGGTTTTGACATAGGGAGCAGAAGGCTTGGAAAAACATTTCTGACTGTGGGGAAACTTCTGTTGCAGAGAGGTACACTGTGGAATGAGATAGAAAGGCTGAAGGACAAAGGCAACTTCTTGACTGAGGACCAAATCCTGCTGCTGCTGCTGGGTATCTGCAGAGGCCTTGAGGCCATTCATGCCAAGGGTTATGCCCACAGGTCAGTGGGAGGATCCTGTACTTGCTGGACAGAGAGGAAGAGCCTCACTGAGAGAAATGGGAGGTCTCTGCTCTCCTTCCAAGAAACAGCCCCCATGATTCTTTTGGCCCCTGGGATTCTGGCCTTCCTGTCCAGGGATGCTCATGATTCACTTCCACTTCACTATAGAGACCTAAAGCCCACCAATATCTTGCTTGGAGATGAGGGGCAGCCTGTTTTAATGGACTTGGGTTCCATGAATCAAGCACGAATCCATGTGGAGGGCTCCCGCCAGGCCCTGGCCCTGCAGGTAAGTTTTCAGATTTATTTGTCCACCTGTTCTCCCATCTTCAGCCCCTTCTGGGGCATGCCCCAATTTGGTCTCACGACTGTGGCCTGTGACCCACTTTTGAGCTCTGGGGCCACTGTTCCAGGACTGGGCAGCCCAGCGATGCACCATCTCCTACCGGGCCCCGGAACTCTTCTCTGTGCAGAGCCACTGTGTCATTGATGAGCAGACTGACGTCTGGGTGAGGAGCATATGGGTGGGAACCTGGGCGGGAGAGGATTGCCACTCTGTACCCACTGTGCAGTAGAGGGTGGATCTGTGGTTTCTACTGCATGGGGCCCCAGGAAATATGGTATGTCCCCATCCCCCTTGGCTTCCTTCCTGGGAACTGTCACTGATACTGTACTCAACTGCTCAAGAAGTGGTATAATCCCTGCCCTCGAGCAGGGCGGGTACAGCTACATGTTAGGGCTAAAGGCAGTGGCTAAGCAAGGGGTACAGAGGGCTCCAGATAACTGGCAGTTTCTCTGGCCCCTGGTGGTACCCTTTGGCTGAGGTTGGCATAGTCTTGTTAGCTTACATAGCCCCCTTTCACCACAGCAGTAAGGGATGGGTGTTACCTCCATTGTTTCCTTTCCAGAGAGTAACGAAGCTATGCTCAGTCCCTAGGCTGTGTGCTGTATGCCATGATGTTTGGGGAAGGCCCTTATGACATGGTGTTCCAGAAAGGTGACAGTGTGGCCCTTGCTGTGCAGAATCAACTCAGCATCCCACAAAGCTCCAGGTAAGCAATAACAGGGACACCAGAAATGTTTCAGATGTCTCCCTCTAGTGTTAGCTGCGTTGGGGCCTTAGCAAGGGGGGATGGATCACCCTCTGGTCCTCCAGTCCGCCTGCCCTCCTCCCTCTACAGGCATTCTTCTGCATTGCGGCAGTTGCTGGCTTCCATGATGACTGTGGATCCCCAGCAGCGCCCTCATGTTCCTGTCCTCCTCAGTCAGGTGGAGGCACTGCAGCCCATACCTCCTGGCCAGGACACTACTCAAATCTGAAGAAACCAGTGGCCCTGTTGAGAAAGTGGACCCTTGTGCCTTGGAAGGAGGCTCCTGTGCCTCATTACAATCTCCATCCATTCTATCCAGGACTGTTCTCTTATAGTTGGGGACAGGAAGGGTAGGGACAGTCATCTCAGTCCTGCATCTGCGCTTCTGCTCTTACCCACAAGAGCAACAACTGGACAAGATTTCCTGACTGCATTGGGGGTGGGGGGTAGGGGAAAGGGAAGCTGATAGAACATGGTACATGGCTCTGAGCAGGACTACTGAGCTCACATCATGATCTGCCTCCAAACCTGGGAGCAGAAGAATGTATAAACAAGAATAAAGCAAAAGCTGGTTGGTATAGTTCTTCGTTTCATTGTTCCTGGAGTGAGAGAAAGGGTGCAAGGGGCCCCGAGTGTGGTTGTCATTTCCAGGGGAATAGCATGGGAAAGACTGGTATCAAGTCAGGACAAGGCGTGACTTCATCATCCCATGCAAGCGGGGAGGTATCCTTCCCTTAGATCTAGCTGGTTGGCAGTGAGCTTGTCTTAGCCCAAAACTTAAAGCTGCACTGGCTTGAGCTGGCTTCCACCTGAGCCAAGAACTGGAATCAGGGCCCCCTAAAATCACACTCAACTAATTCCTTCCTTCCCTGCCAGGGGTGGGTAGCTTGGTCAAAGCAGCCCAGCTGGTTTGCCAGGCAAGGGCTTCTGGGTGGAGACTCCCCAGGAAGCTGTGGGACAGGTCTCCCAGCCTCACCCTGGGGGCAAGGGGAGTGGAGATGGCAGCCATTTTGGCACAGGTCTCTCCTGATGGTTCTAGCTCACAGGTGATTAATGATTAACGAGGTCAGGGTGGCGTGGCAGTATCCAGCTGCCACTTCCAGCCTGCTCTGCTGAGTAAACGGGCCCTGCCTTAGCTGGCCTTGAAACCTGTTCCTCAGGGAAGGGCACTGCGTCCCTGAATCACCAGGGAGGGAAGGGTGATTCAGGCCTCTCCTCCTGAGATCAAAGTCCTTCCCCCCAACCGCCAGCCATGCCCACCCTCACATGCTGATGTCAGCATGGGTTCTGGGATACCTATTAGCAAAGTTGAAATCTTCCCCAGGGCCCTGGCAGGAGGCTCCCACCAGCTAGCATGGAGGCTGGGAGGTTGAGGCCAGAAAGAAAGCACAAACAGAGGGGAGACGACCTGACTTTTAATGGCACAGCCCCAAGCCCCAGCAAAGCAGCAAGACAGATACTAAGCTACGCAAAGCTGCTGGGAGGCACAGTGACACAACTCCAGGAGATACACTTGTCCCTTCCCATCCCCCAAGCTTATGACTAGGCTCCATGCCCAGGATTTCTGGGCCAGCCCAGCCCCACTCCCAAACCCTCAAAATGCAGAGAAGCCTGGGCCAAGCCTTGCTTCCAGAGCTAGTGAATACAGAAGCAGCAGGAAGAATAGCAGTCCAACTCTCAAATACAGAAACCACTGGACTTAAACTCCTACTTGGAAAGGAAGTGAAGACTCAGTATCCTTAAATAGCTTGTGGCTGGACAGAGAGGTCCAGGATTGGTCCTCATTTCTCCCTATCCTGGGTGCCCCTAGGCCTTACATCAAGGTCCCTGGGCTTATGCTTCCTGGGCCTGGAAAAGGCCCCTAGGCAGGTCTCACCTTCAGCCACGGGAGGGAAAGAACGGTCATAAGCAGCAAATAGGGCGGCAGCAGAAGCAGCAGCAGCACAAAGGGAAGGCAGCAGAAGCTTAAGCACTCACAGAGGTGACAAGAAACCGTGCAAGGAGACTGTTTATTTCGAAAGGATTTTGCAATAAACATAGTGAATAGACTCCAGGAGCTGTTCTATTCTTCCCCCTCATCCTCGTCCTCATAGGAGTCGATGCCCACTTCCTCGTAATCTTTCTCCAGGGCAGCCATATCCTCCCGGGCCTCGGAGAACTCACCCTCTTCCATGCCCTCACCCACATACCAGTGCACAAACGCCCTCTTGGCATACATCAGGTCGAACTTGTGGTCCAGGCGGGCCCAGGCCTCAGCGATGGCGGTTGTGTTGCTCAGCATGCACACGGCGCGCTGCACCTTGGCCAGGTCACCCCCGGGCACCACAGTGGGTGGCTGGTAGTTGATACCAACCTTGAAGCCTGTAGGGCACCAGTCCACAAACTGGATACTGCGCTTGGTCTTGATGGCAGCGATGGCGGCATTCACATCCTTGGGCACCACATCTCCACGGTACAGCAGACAGCAGGCCATGTACTTGCCGTGACGGGGGTCGCACTTCACCATCTGGTTGGCAGGCTCAAAGCAGGCATTGGTGATCTCTGCCACTGACAGCTGCTCATGGTAGGCCTTCTCTGCAGAGATGACTGGTGCATAGGTGGCCAGGGGGAAGTGGATGCGAGGGTAGGGCACCAGGTTGGTCTGGAACTCTGTCAGGTCCACATTGAGGGCTCCATCAAAACGCAGGGAAGCCGTGATGGAAGAGACAATTTGGCCGATGAGGCGGTTGAGGTTGGTGTAGGTTGGGCGCTCGATGTCCAGGTTGCGGCGGCAGATGTCATAGATGGCCTCATTGTCCACCATGAAGGCACAGTCTGAGTGCTCCAGGGTGGTGTGGGTGGTCAGGATGGAGTTGTAGGGCTCGACCACGGCTGTGGACACCTGAGGGGCCGGGTAGATGGAGAACTCCAACTTGGACTTCTTGCCATAGTCAACAGAGAGCCGCTCCATGAGGAGTGAGGTGAAGCCAGAGCCGGTGCCCCCTCCAAAGCTGTGGAACACCAGGAAGCCCTGAAGTCCTGTGCACTGGTCAGACTGAAAGACAAGAACGAGAAAGAGCAATGTTGGTATAGGGGAGGGGTCTGAGGAACTCTGTCTTTGGGCTCCATAAAAGCCTAACATATTTTAAGAGTCAAGGTCAAGACTACTGAGTATCCCACAGCTGCAGTGTCATCCTCTAGAACATGCACAATTAAGAGCTGACCCCCTGAAATGGATCTGAAAACAATGTTCCTAACTATTCACATAGTCTCAGAAGCTCCCTCCCTTCCAGATTCTCACCAGCTTGCGGATCCGGTCCAGCACTGGGTCAATGATCTCCTTGCCAATAGTATAGTGACCACGGGCATAGTTGTTAGCAGCATCCTCTTTCCCAGTGATAAGCTGCTCTGGATGGAAGAGCTGTCGGTATGGGCCATTTCGGATCTCATCTGGAAGGGCATAAACCACATGGTTAGGGCAAAAACCACAAGGCCATACTCAGCAGAGACCTCCCTCCTGCAGCATGGTAGCTGTGGTCAGTTGCATAAAAGAACTCATCCTTCCGCCAGACTTGAGATAGCAGAGTGGGAGAAGAACCCAGATCTGCTCCCCAAGCCAGCCTGAGATCAGCTTGCCTTCTTCAGCTTCAAAGAGGGCTAGGAAAGCCAGGTTTAGACCCCTTCTTTCCAGAGAGAAGATCAGAGTCACCCTCAAATTCCACCCCTCCTAGATTCCTGCCCCTCTTCCTCTCACCAATTACAGTAGGCTCCAAATCAACAAAAACTGCCCGGGGCACATGTTTTCCAGCGCCGGTTTCACAGAAGAAGGTAGTGAAGGAGTCGTCCCCTCCACCAATGGTCTTGTCACTGGGCATCTGCCCATCAGGCTGAATCCCGTGTTCCAGACAGTAGAGCTCCCAGCAGGCATTGCCCATCTGGACACCTGCCTGCCCCACATGGACTGAGATACATTCACGCTGAGGGATAAAGAGGGGACACAGCATAAGCCCCACACCCGCAAGTCCTCACCTCATGAGCCTCCCTCCTACCCTATCATCTACCAGCGAGGATGACTCAGTTGGCAAGAGTGGGGGCTTTGCGCTGGGCAATGGTCAGAAGAGGCTGGCAGCCTGCCCAGGCTCCCCCACCTTAGGACTTCCCCACTGGAGGCACCCAAGAGGGCAGTGCAGACCGTTTGCCTCCTTCTCAGTAGGAAACGTGTCAAGTGAGAGCTTTGGCGCCATATGCCCCTGCCACATTCACAGGACACTCAAGGAGGACAGGAGGGCGAGGCATACATTGCAGTAACTTAGATGAGACTTTTCAGCCTGATCCTTACTGCCCACAAAGTCAGCTTCGCAAGAGCCTGCAAAGGGGCAGAAGGTTATCCAGAGCTGACTTTATAGCTAGAGGCCCCCGACTTGATTCTTTCCTTTGGAGATGAACAACTCCAGTTTCATACAGCCCTCTCCCCTCTTCTTTCCTGTGTGCCTTCAGCGTCCAGTCGGCATCAACTGACCATAATGAATACCCCCTTCCCCCACCTTTAAATCCCATCTGGCTCTGGGGATCAATCCATCTGGCTCCTCTCCCCACCTCCACCCCCGCACTCTGGGTGTCTTCACCACCTTCATCCACCGCGTCAGCCCATACAAAAATAGCAGCGATAAAACTAGGGGGCGCAGAGGGCAGGACAGGCAACAGGGGCTGCGGACGCAGGGGCACTCGCTGCCTTGGGCGCCGTCCCTACCAATCCGGTTAACCCCTGAAGCGCCAGAGTGGTGCGTGGTCGGCGCAGGGCCCGCGCAATCTCCCTTTCCAACCCCGAAATGGCGGTGTGAAGGTTACCAAATACCCAGAAAAGGAAGTGGAACCTGTGGTGAGGCCCCAGAGGTAACCGGGTTGGCCCCGGGGGTAGAGCTCCATCCTGCTTCCCGGCCCTGCATCCGCCCTCCCTCTAGATTCTTTCCAGTTACTTCCCAGTCCGGGGGTTGAATTTCGGCCTCCGCTCCCCGGCTATAAATACTACTTCCCCCCCACCCCACCCCACACGGACAGACCTCTTTCCCCTCCCCCCACCCCGCCCGGCCCGCGCTCTCGTTCAGCGCCAGCTGTCTCTGCCCGTCGGCGCACCGGGCTCCGGCTGGAGAGGCCGGCTCCCCACCCGAAGCCGAAGCCCATTCCCGCCACCCCGGCAGTCTCAGAAGTGGGGTGCTGAGTCACTGGGGGGGGGGGGCGGTGGATAGTAGGGATGCACACAGTGGGAGGAAAAGGGGACGCGGAACCAAGTAATCTGACCCCCTTCCACCTCCTCGGGCCAAGCACGTGTTCGGTCTGTTCCAGGGGCGGGGGTGGGGGGAATAGGGTGCTGGGCAGCCAAGTGGGTCTTCCCCAGACCTTCTGCGGTCCCGCGTGACTCCCCGCAGGAGGGTTAGGGCACAAATGCTTGATGGGGCAGGGGCAGATGGCCAGGAGGGCGCCTCTCTGTTAGTGAAGAATGCCGCCCTAAACCATCACCCACTCCCAGGTTCCAAAGGTGGACACCACGGCTCGGCCAAAGTCACCAGGCGGGGACTACGGGAATGCAAAAATCCTCGCACTTCGTTGAGACCTGGAACGCCCACTGGGAGAGTTCTGGGAGCAGGGGGTCCCCCGAAGGAGAGGGGAAATAGGGGACGGGCGCGCTGCCTGCGGGGTCGCACTCACCATGGTGAGTCCGGGCGATGCGTCTCACGTAGAGTCGGGGTGACGTGCCTCGGTGAGAACTGCGCTAGCTGCAGTGCCGCACCGCTCTTATAGGAGGGGGCGGGACTGGCGCGGTCGGCCCGCCCGCCCGGGGCTGGGTGATCCGGAGCCACGCCCCCACCGAAGGGTGGGCGGCCGCGAGGGGTGAGGCGGGGCGGGATCCCTCCCGAGCCGTGTCGTGTCCCTCACCTGCAGGACTTGGGCTAGGAAGAGACGCCGTGGCTTTAACCCTGCGCTTCCGGTCTTGAGCCGACAGTCCAGGCCGCGGAGTTCCGTGGCAGGGACGCAGGGCGCGGTGCCAGAGCGCCTCTCGCCTGCATCCGCGTTTTGGGTGCGCCGGTCGCCCAGGTGTGCAGACTTAGGCCGGATGGCGTCATGGCCGTCCTCCCGACGTGGCTGCGGCCGGCCTTGGCCGGGACCCTCCCCGCCCCACCTCCCGGGCGGCTCCGGCAGGCTGCCTAGCTTGGGCCCGGCCCTGGGTGCCCCTTTCCAGCGGCACGTCGCCTGCCGGTCCCCGGCCGGGACGCCTGGCCTTCGCCGACACCCGTGAGCTGTCGAGGCCCGGGAGCTGCACAACCTGAGCCCCATGGTACCGATCCCTTAGTCTCTCCTGCAGAGCCGAGCGGCCCCCTCCTGTCTGCGAGGTCCGACCCCAGGAATCTGCCGTGGCTAGCCTACCGGCCGCCTGCCCCGTCAGGGGCCGTCATCAACGCCGTCACTATTAGTGAGCGGAGGCCACTGCTACCTGCCCACTTTCCTGCCGCCAGAGCGCAGGACCTGGAGCACTCTGGACCTGGATTTGCATCCAGACTGCCCTGTGTAGCCTTGGGCAGGTGATACCTCACTGCGTCCTTGACGTCTTCATTGATAAATAGAAGACAGTCATTCTGCCCTGGGGGCGTTGTAGTGAGGTTATCAAAAGGGTTGGTGACTCTGAAGAAGGAAGAAGAAAATGGAGATACTGATATCATGGCTGATTTTTACTTTCCCATCCTCTTCTGTCTCTAAGTCGTGGGCAGGATCAGGGCCCAGCAGCTTAACACTCCTCAGCGCTGAGGCAGAGGTTCCAGCGGAAGCCATACTAACTTCCTACATTTCATTTCCATTTCTTGCAAAAACAGACTTTTTCAAGCT